GACCTGAGCCATAAGGCTAAGCGATTTTCTTTAGAAATTGATTAAACTCCTTTTGGCAGTCAGATAGTCAGATTAGGTTTGAACTGGACCGGGTGGAAGTCCTCGGTCCGTACTGGGTGTCGAGCCCTGGAGGCTTTTTCTATCGGCCCCTCTTTTTTTTTTTTTTTTTTTTTTGTCGATCGTTTTCACTTGGTCGATCTATATTCGGAGTACTCCAGGGCTATACTACTCTGTGTCTACTGTCAGATCTGGCCCCGAGCCATCCCCCCACACTCCAATTCCCTCTATTTCTTGCATCTTGGCTACTTCTTCTAAATCTTTCACCGTGCTTTATTGATACACCTGCATAGCTATCTCCCATGAGCTCGAAAACAGGTTTGACACACTTCTTCAAGCCCTATTGATAAGGTGCATTTATTCCTGCAATTGTTCAAGACTATTGTACTTTGTTTGAATCCCGAAACCCTGGGAGTGAACGAACCCCGCCAAGAACCAAACTAGTGGGGGGTTATTCCATGGATTCTCTAACTTGTAGGTTTTTGTTTAACTTTCCCCAGGTTATATACGTACGAAGTAGATGTAACCACTCCAATGTTATAACCTTTGGAATATATATATATATAATATAGACTTTGGATGCTTGATATCTATAAAGCGAATATGAGCAACTCGTAGTTTTGAGCTTCTCGATGATCAAATCCCTAATGCCCGGACCTGAATGCAGCAAGGGCGACTGAACCCCGAACCCAAAAACCGAAGGGCTTTCCCCCAGATCTTTCGACCCCTGCGTCTGAAGGGACAGCTTTCACCTACGTACATGGCTTTCCATCACCACGAAACCCCCAAACCACTACCGAAGTACCCATCTAATCCACCCCACCCAAATGCCGTGATCATCGACCCTGGAAGGTTTCGATAGTTACTTTCGTTGCACCAGGTCATACCTCAATCTGCACAGCCGCATTGGCCTAGCCAGTCGCTCCACTGTGATCTCTAGTGGCTTATGAATGAAGTGTGGCTTATCTGGGGTGATCGTCAGGCGTCCGGGATTCCGTACATACCTCTTCTATCTGTGGTTACAAAATTTACCAGGATCTACGGTGTACATCTCGCCACCGCTGCTGACCACAGGGTTTTCGCCTTCTGTGATTTTGATGGGCCTCGTGAATACCCGGGATGGCTGTGGTCCATTGAGGCTTTCTGTTGTGTACGATCCCCTGTTGATCGCATTGCTTCGTTTCGGATGTGTGCCACCTGTGGCAACTGAAACAGATAATCTCCTTGTGCCGCGTAGCAGGCCTCTTCCGGGATAACTACATCTTCCAAGGTTACGTACCATCGTAGATTGATGCGCTCGGTACTTCGTACTAGACTAGATACTCGAAACTATGTTCTACCTCCACAAAAACTATCCAAGTCAAAACGATAGACCAGTCAACACACGCAACTCAACTCCTGAATTAGCAAACCTTATCTGGGCTTAGAAATATGACTGCATTAGCACGATTTCTCGCTCTCAGGTACCAGGAACCGGAACATACACAATACAGTCGTCAACTTTTGTACTCTGCCAAGATCCTCCCCGGCTCTTCGAAGGCTGTAGAATTCGGAGCTTAGACTACATCCCAGATAGTCCAAGTCCAGATACCCAAGTGATCAACAAGACATGCAAGCCTCCCTCTCAACGCCATGACGGCAGTTTTGCCTATTCTATCGTATATTGTGTTAAATTCTACTACCTTTGTAGATAAGTGGACAGCCCATGCAATCCACCACTAGATCATGACCCGACATATTTGCCTGTATATTATACTACTTATTATAGTGTCTAGCCACTGATCGGTGATTGACATTGACATTCTTCGGTATGCACAGTGTTCCTCCCGGGACTGTAATCCGGTGTGTGTCTGGGGGGTTGCAAATGTTGTAGGTCCATCGAGTGCCACTGACGCAAGTACAAATGCCCATTACTCGGCGTTGACTGTCCAGCTTTCATTGCGAATCATGGTTTTGGTTTCTGACCTCATACCAATACTTCCAATTAAGTTCGATGTACATTTTCCAATAAAGGTTATCATCTCTTGAAGCCAAAGCGTTTGACTACCCGTATGATAGGGGACCGTGCTGGGACTGGATCTGAATGTCTAAATCTGTGTTTTTGCCTCTCTCTTGATCGGCCAAATGGGTAGAAATAGAACCAAAATCCGACAGCTGATCATTCGGTGTCACCCGAAAAATTGTTTCTTAATTGAGTATAGATTTCCTAGCAATATGGGCTTCAAGGGAGTGAAACAAGCATTATAAAATTCATAAACTGCAGTCAATGATTTATCTCATAGAACATTCGACATTTGGGCCATATTATGCAGGGACGAAATTGATCGGCCTATAGAAAGCAAGCATCAGAGATCGGGCCTGCAAAAGAGATCAATAGTACAAAGTACACAAAATAACATATAGGTACGGGATTATGCACAATCCCCAAAATGGTACCTGGTTGGTCCCGGTATTCTCTCGGTGTGTGCCCTGGCAATGGCTTCCCGTTTACCCCCGCCCTTTCCCCCTTACTTGACTTTCTTTTTTTTCTTCACATAACGGTCTCTCGTTCGCTCGCAAAGACATTCAAAAAGAAATTGATTTGCTTTTTTAATTCGATTTTCCCTCCAGTGAATGAATACTCCACGTTGACTTGCATTGCATTGCCTTGCATGGATTTATTCCCGGTTTCCAGGAACCATCTTCATTGTAGCAAAAGTTTATGTGCCAGTGCCCTAGGAGGGCTCTAGATCTGCCCTGTCTATCTATTCTGACTTATTGTTGGTCAATAGTGTTCTCTCCTATTTAGCTTGGTTTCCCTTCAGGGATTCCCCAAGGTGCATCCTCGTGTACCTGTGGACATCGTACCTGTATACCTGTCTCCTCCCAGGAGCGCGATGTGAGTCGCGTTAAAGGAGCACACATACCTCCACGATACTTAAATAATACTTAATACCATGATTCGCGACTTCGCATCGGAAACTAAAACCCAATATGTTAGGTTCCTCTTACTTGGATTATGAATCAGAAAACAATAAGAAAACCTTACAGTCTCGCAGAGATGCAGCGTTACAATAATCCCGCCTATATCACATACCAGTGCAAGCACACTGACCTGCTCTATTCACTCCCAACGGCCCATACATGCATGCCCGCTGCCACAATCTTATGTAACCAGGCTCCATACTAGTACCGAAGTAGCAACAGATGTACCTAGGGTAGGATGAGCATGCGCCAGAAAAAGAAAAGGCCAGATTCGAGCCCCCAATAAGAGCCGGATCGACCCTGCACATCGAACCCTCTGGAGAATGTCAGACATAGGTGCTTTTACAGGAACCCTGCAGAGCACGAACCATGTCTAGCCTGCGCGGTCGGCGGCGGCGCGCCCTGATTGGTGTGATTGGTGTGATTGCGGATGATGAATCCGGTGATATCATATTATTGGGGCCCTTACGCCTGCCCGCTGCTTGTCTGGCCTACTTGGGAGACCTACATGCTGTTATTAGATGTTGGTTTCATTTTTTCCTACATATTGGCTCCAGGGCCGCAATTCCGGTGCCTGAATATACTATTCTTACTGTATAGTGCTTTTGCGGTGTCGTGTTAGGTTCGCTCTGCTAGGGTCTAGGCGTGTACTTTGTACTTGGGATGAACTCCTATGACGCGGATCAATATGACAGGGTTGTTGTCTGTCATTTATGACTTGATCGGTTTTTCACACGCTCTGGGCACCCTTGAATGGAGCACGGCCGATATGTGATCAGATGAGAGAGATTGGTAGTCGTAAGCTCTTTGTGTAGGTTTTCTGGGCAGAAATGCCAAGTTAAGTTGGGGAGTAGATAGCGCAGAACTCTATGGGCATCGTTTTGAAGCCTATCGAATTTGTCAAAGGGGGATATTGTTGTGCTTGATGAATAGAGAAGTCTTTTGGGGCAATCCTAGCAATGTTCGTAACAGTCTGACCTTTAAAGGGAACATTCATGGGTTTGTGAGGTCCGAGTAGAAAGCCATAAACGAGCTTGATACAGGCTCTAGTAGTAGTTCACAGACGAATCCGGCCTTGAGGGACTTTGTTCTTTTGTGGTGGGGTGTACTAGGTGTGCGGTTATAATGACATTCATTAGGTGGGATTTACTAGCGAAGCCAGCTTAACCGAAAATAATTGCATTTGAACAGAAAACATATTATATATTCGTATCTATATCGTTCCACGATGTGTAGTGGTTGGTTTACTTGGGATACTCTCTGGTTGTATGTTATGTGGTTGCATGCGAATATATATGTGGTAGAATACAATATGTAGACATGGATGCAGCGTTTTCTAAGCTACCTTAACCACAGCATGCTTTATCATTATCAGATCATAACAAGGTGTCTCAATTTTTATGCATATTGAGCTATGCGAGCAATCTATGTACTTATAATTCTTTTACTCTCCGGAGTATGAACCTGCTCTCGAGAGATTTACATCTGCGCTGACAGTGTGTTACACGTCGCAGCGTCGGGATCAACACGGTATCATATACTGGCAGCTTAGAATTCGAATAAAAGATAGAGCAACTCGATTTATTTTGGAATAACACATAAATGGTGGTAACGTTGGAATAGTGAAGAGACGGACAGATGTCATATGACTATGATCACTAGCCTCGCCTTCCTCCTCCCAACTTTGTCTTCCTTCCCTCTAACCACATTCATCACTCCTCGTATACATCCATCTTGGTTAGTCTACTTAGACTAACCTTTTGCCACGTTAACATCTTGACAAATTTGGGGATGAAGAACGCCGGTATCTCAGCCAAGAGAGGACAGAGAATGACTTCTAACGGCTAAACCATTTTCGTCACGCTTCCATCTCCCTCTGGTTCAGCGACATCTCTCGAATTGTTTGCGAGAACCGGATCAGACAAATCCACGGAATACCGCATGAGTTCTTTGAATCTTTGCCAACTTGGCCAACCCCGATGTTGCTGAAGTTTGTAAGTAGACTAGCAATGGACCCGCAACACCACAAACTGACAGTTCTACTCAAAACAGGAGCAGGCAAGAGACCGACCAATTCTTTGGAACTTCAAACACACCCCAATAACCTTTAGATTCGACGACGGAATCGAAGCGCAAGCAACTAGCACACACCGTATGTTGACCTAACAGATCGGTAGGATAAGATGCTAATTTTGAATTGTCTTTCAGAGCCAATGTCGACCGGGTCACAAATGGCGCATATCATTCCTTTGTCGCGATTAATGAGGATAATACCTCCATGGATGTTGCTTTCTATTGGTTGCCTACTATCGGAAATTCCGAAAGGAAGGCCTCTAACAAGGACCTGACCCCTGAAACCGGAACACCCGCTCCCCGACAAACATGTAGGCATTGACAAAGCCTAGGGAAGAGCAATGATTGCCACCGCGAGGAATCTGTCACACGCTCCAGGCAAACCTTTACCACCAACCCAGCGAATAGCCCAACGGAATCGCTGAATTTGTGATAGATCTTGACTCGCATTGCAAGAGACAGATTGTTTTTCGCGTCTGCCGATGAATCTGATTTGGCTTGTTTGAGCTTATAATCCCGATCAAAAGCACCAATACTCCGTCAGATCATGCCCATTCGGCAATCCTGCCTACAAAGGGTCAACTCTTAAAGTAGCTCAACTTCAAACTCGGTAGTTTGAAAGGCTACAGGGTTGTTTTTGACTTACGAAGGCTTCGTTCACTAAGTGAGGGTTCTGGCCTTTTTCCTTTTTGCCCTTTATTGCACGCACCAACAGAGAGTCTAAAAATCTCCGAGGTATGGAAAAAAAGTCTTTTCACTGCTTTCCAAGTCTACATTTGCATCTGAACTGGACTCTGGGGATGTTATCAGGCGCCACTGTGAGCAGCAAGCCGTGAAATTTGTGAATGATCTCCAAGTAACCATCAAAAGCTCAAGTCCAATAAATACGTCAATACTTCGAAGAGTAATGTGCATGGTTCGCATGTTGAGTAACGTTATTCTCAAGCTTTGAAAGCCAAACAAGTAAGCTGAAATTGAGCAGCCAATCTGGAGTGACTGGGAAGGTAATAAGGGGAACGACTCTTTGTTCACATCGCTCTATTCCTTTGCATATGGAGAATCGAGTTTCATACATGTTTGAATCCTCGAAATTAAACTACTCAAAATGTTCTCATATTTCATATTTGTCGTGGGACTTCTATATGTGGACCAGCCTCTGACAGCCCTTAGTGTTGACCATTTGCGAGGGCAGATGTGATTTGGCTGAGACAAGACAAAGACTCAGGGATGGGCGATGTCACTTATTTTACCGAATAGACCTTCTTTACTTCTAAGGTTCTTTCTTTTTGCTTGCTACGGAATAATCGCTCGGCCCTGCAGAGCTCTACTATCAGATATTTAGGCTAGTCACTTAGAAGAATAGTTGAGGTCATTTGATATCCATGTCCTAGTATTCTAGCTTAAACACCTTGTCTCTTGGCTATATTCATGCGGTCGTCTTCCAACCTAATGTCAAAACCGATAGTCGATCCTTGCTGCCACCCTTTTCCACAAGTAGCCGTTGAATGACTTGAACTCGGCCACTACCACTGAGAATGTTCCCAGTCATGGTTGGTGACAGACCTCGAGGGAGAGAATTGCCAGAAATCCTCATGTAACACAGCAGGCATCCTCGTGATGCCGATTGTACTGAGCCCCTATGTTTGCAAGAAGGGTGTCGGGTAATTTTGGGGAAAGCCCTTTTTGTTTACGTGAGGGATAAGTAGGGGAGGTGCGATGCTTTATTGTTCATTATGCTACAACCTATCCTTTGCTAGGGGGGTCCTGGATACTATCCTTGAACAGATTTTCAAATGGCAGACAAGTCCAAGATTCCCGGATCAATATTGCGATTAGCGTGAATAACAGTCTAACAGCCAGACTTGGTCAAGACCACGTGAGAATTTGGAATGGCTAAATGCCAACCTATCCGCATGCTGCAAGCAAGGAGCTGCCCGTTCAAGCCCGAATCATTCGAATAAGTACATTGCCCAAATTCGAGTCGTGATACCAAAAGATAACTAGCCGGGACGAACAGGTATCACCAATCTCTGAACATGACAACCGACGCACGAAGAACCCAAAACGAAGAACTCAAGAACCAATAATCTGGACAAGTCACCGGGACAGATACAAATCTCATCTCCGACAGACGCAAGCCCAGAACCGAACATGTCGCACTTCACGACGTGGGCGCCACCCGACTCCCGCTCGTGTCGCGCAACGGAAAGCCGCAGACCCAGACAAAAGAAAAGAGAGAGAGAAAAAAAAAGAAAAAAGCGAAAGCAAACTTTCACTTAAATTCTCCGAGAAAATCCCCCGGTCTCGGGAATTTGAAGATCTCCATAATCATGCAGTTTTGATGGCGGTCAGATTCGAAATCTCAAGGTGCAGCCTCGGGCGCATGCAGAAGACAAATGCGAGACTCGCGGACGGGAACTTGCAGGTTTACGTGGTTAATTCCTTAAGAATGCGGTCAGCAATTTCATCTTTGTGAGATATCACTGCATATTATTGAGACTTCGGTACAGCCGAGGGTCTTCCTGCTTCGTGATGGACCCTGTGTTGGTTTACCGTAAACCTCGACTATTGGTGTGAAGAACTGGCCCATGCTTTGAGGCCAGACCGATGGCCAGACCGATATGAAGGTGGGGGTTGGGTGCATTCCTGTTGGGAAGATGCTTGTTGGACTGCGTTAAGACCGTGAGAAGAGACAGATCGCACAACTACATGCACTGCACTACCCAGGAGTACGTTCCACGTTCCACGTTCCACGTTTCTTTTGGTCAGGAAGCGCCCATGCTGGTAAGTTTGGTTTCACAGAGAAGGCCCTGGAGTCCTGGAGCCCTGGAGTCCTGGGGTGTTATATGAATTCGGGGCCACTATGACGTGTCTCGTTTAAGCGTTATACGATGCCAAGAACGTGGAGCTTATCTTTTGGGACTTTGGAGACATTTGGGACATGTGAGCCCCGAACTCCGAGCTCCGAGTATCGAATGTCGAGATAAGCCCCCGATGTCCTCATAACGGCAAAGTATGTTGGAATTTCATGAGCCAAAAGAGTGAGGGCTTGAATTTAAAACAATACTGAATTAATATTAAGTCAATGTTAAGATAAATGTAAAAAAAAACCAATGTCTAGACAAAGAAAAAAAAAAAAAAAAAAGGGGTCCAATGAGTTGTAGTTGTCTCAAGAACGGGAATGCCAACGCCCTATCTAAACGGTCGTCTGTCATTGGACTCCGATACATAAGCACAGAGGCAGCAATTTAAAAGGGGATGGCGTTAATAAATATCTGCCTTCTCAGCATTCCTTTTTGATGTCTAGGGGTATCCTTTCTTGACTTCCAGAGGTCTACACCTTTTTAAGGACATTCACAATGACCGACACAATGACCGTCGACTCAATAACAGGCGAGACAGCACCGCTGCTGGGCTCACACACGACCAAACCATCTCAGCACCCAAAGAAACTACTGATCTCCATTGTGTGTGCTATATTCTTGTTATCGGCCGACTTCGGATTCTTCATGTCCACTGCGCCGCAAATGGCTGTGTATGAGGAGATCATCTGTCGAAACTACCAGGCCACTCTTCATGGGGTGGGAAATGACACTCTGAACCCACCAGAGGCCAATCCGTGTAAATCAGAGGCTGTACAAGGAGAACTGGCCCTCGTGATTGGGTACCAGGCTACATTTGACGTGGTGCCTGGTATGTGTCTTACAGTGTGCTACAATATAACGACGTTGGGATGCTGATGTTTTGGGAATATAGGTCTTATACTCTCGCTGCCGTATGGCGTCATGTCGGATCGCTGGGGGCGAAGGCCTCTCTTGTATCTTAGCATACTGGGAATTCTCCTCGCCGAGACATGGGTTAGGATAGTTTGTAAGTGGGCCATTGAACTCTTGGGTCGATGTTTTGCTGACCCCTCATCCTAGGTCTATGGTCAACCGTCATTCCCCTTCGGATGGTCTGGTTGTCAGCTGCGTTCAAAATCATCGGCGGCGGCGACCAAGTCCTCACGGCCATTGCCATGGTCATGGTGGCCGATGTCTTTACCGAAGATGAGAGGTAATTTGATGACTTAATCTTGCTCGGTGATCAATCTAACATGTATATAGAGCAACCGCGCTCTTCCGTTTACAGTCTTGCGTCCAAATCGCAGAGATTCTGGCCACTCCACTCAGTGCCTATCTGATGACTTTCGGTCCAATGGTTCCCTATACCCTATCAATAGGCATCATGATTTTAGGAAGTATTCCAGCTTTGTTCCTACCGGAGACTCTCAAACATCCAAAACGAAAGCGAGTAAACCAAGAGGCACCAAACCAGGACAGCGAAAGCGAGCAGTCCCAGCCTCCGAGGAAGCAGACAGTGTTACAGGAGGTCACCCGACAAGTTCGCGAGTTCGCACAGTCGACACGCTTCATCTGGTTCGACACTAATATTTGTTTAATGATCTTTGTGATGTTCGTCACAGTGATGACTCGACAATCCACGAACCTGCTTCTGCAATATGTATCAAAGAAGTTTGACTGGAGTATTAGTCGCGTATGTGCCCTGTCCCCTCAGTCAAATAATCCAAAACACTAACCATGATATAGGCCAGTCTCTTAATCTCGCTGCGCGGGATATTTTCTCTTGTGACATATTTGGTCATAATGCCAGTTTTGTCCTTGTTGGCCACCAAACACCTAAAGCTCCGTGGAAAACGTAGCGACCATTTTATGAGCAAAGGCAGCGGCGTGCTTTCAATCATTGGTTTCGCCATTATCTCTATAGCTCCAACCCCCGCGATCTTAATCGGTGGTCAAGTCATCTTGTCAATCGGCTCGGCATTCATGATCACCACACGCAGTCTGGCTACTTCACTCGTACAAATTGACCATGCTGGCACTTTATATTCGGCAATTGCCATTGCACAGGGCGTCGGAACCCTCATTTCCGGTCCTTTATTTGCCAACCTCTTCCGGTTAGGTATGCATCTTGGAACTGTCTGGATGGGACTGCCATTCTTCCAAGCCTCTCTCTTTTTCGCTGTTGCTGTCACCGCCGTTTGGCACATTCGACTTGGACCATCTCCGCGAGCCAATGATGAGGAACAGGACCCTTTGTTATCCTAATTTCTATACCTCTTCGATCAATCTCATTACATCCAAGCAAGCTGACACGGGTTCCTTCATGTGGAGAACGTATTGTCAGCCTGCATATATGACGTTGACGTAGCAGTAATCCCATCCACAGAGATATCCGCAGCAACCATTGTCTTCTAAGCGAAGCAATACCAGCTTTCAGATAAAACTGTCCAAGACCCATGGGCTAAGCACTCTGGTTTGTCAGGGTTGGGCGATCAGCGGGTTTAATCTTGCGAGGGTCGAATCAACTTGAATCAACTTGAATTAACAGTCGGAGATCCGAAGGAGTAGCCCGGTCGATGCAACCTCAAAAGGTGTTTCGTCAGTCTACTGCAGACGAAAACCGTCGGACAATGATTTAGCGCTGGAGTGCGTTGTGTATTTCTGTCTTGTCATTGGAGAAAAGGGAGAAAAGTCCACCACTCAACTTGCCCCGCTCGATGATCGTCGCCTACTTCGACTAGCACTGCTCTCCTTTATAGTACTTCTTCGAGATGATAGGTGTACCGGCGACATCCGAGAACAAATCAGCGTCTTCTTATCGATGCATGTGCTACAATTGGCTATGTGCCTGACGATGTTTACACCGAAGATGATCTCTGGACTAAAACATAAAACCATTCGATGATCCCCTTACATCTCTTCATTCAGCTCAACAATTCCTTCTCAATTCAATCTTGAAGAAAAAAAAAAAAATGTTCCAATCCCAATCCCCAAAGGGCATGCTCGCCCTAGCAGCCATGGGCCTAATCACTGGCACAACCGCCAGCCTTGAAACCTGTGCCAGCAGCACCGCCTTTAGCTGCGCGAGCTCCTCCACAGAGCCAACCTGTTGCTTCAACTACCCAGGTGGTGCCCTCCTCCAGACTCAATTCTGGGATACCAGCCCATCAACTGGTCCCGACGACTCATGGACCATCCACGGACTGTGGTATGTAACATTAATATCCCAATCAGATCTATATCCCCTATAAATACCCGGGGTCGTAGACTAACCACTCCCTCCAGGCCCGACAACTGCGACGGCACATACCAGTCGAGCTGTGACTCGGAGCGCGCTTACTCCAACATCACAGCCATCCTGCAGGACCAGGACCTCGGTGACCTCGTCGACTACATGGATGAGTATTGGGTCGACATCAACGGCGAGAACGAGAGCTTCTGGTCGCACGAGTGGAGCAAGCACGGTACTTGCGTCAACACGATCGATCCCAGCTGCTATTCCAGTTACAAGGCGCAGGAGGAAGTGGGTGATTTCTTCCAGAAGACGGTTGATTTGTTCAAGAGTTTGGATACGTACAAGGTATGTCCCCCTCTCTGCCTTTCATAATATGTGCTGTTCGTTTCTGACTATCTCCCAGGCTCTCGCCACTGCTGGCATTACCCCGAGTACATCCAAGACCTACACTCTCAGCGCGATCCAGGAGGCTCTTACTACCATGCATGGCGCGTCGGTTTACCTTGGCTGCTCTAGTGGCAAGTTGAACCAGGTTTGGTATTTCTACAACGTTAAGGGCAATGCCATTGATGGAACATACAAGGCTGTTGATACGCGTAAGTTTTATCGTTTGCTTTTTGGTGGGATCTTTACTGATATCTTGGTTTTTTTTTTAGTCACTACTTCTGGCTGCCCAAAGACTGGCATTAAGTATGTGCCCAAGTAAATAGGGAACAGGGCTTGATATGTCTTAGTGATGATTGTTATTGATTTGCACAATGTGTGCTGAAATGGTATCTTTGGATTAGCTATGGTACATGTTGATACAGATTCGAATTCTCGTTAATCTGATACGATGATGATCGTTTATTGACCATAACATTTCACTGGCTATAAATGTATATCGGTGGTGATACTGCAGGGTCGTTGAGCACATGATCGTGTTCAGCCTTGAAGTTTGGGGCAAGTATTTTAGCCATTCCCGAGAATGCATCCTAGCCTTGTAGTGGACATGGGGCGCACCGTAATTTTTGGGCACCGGTGACGCGGATGGGGGTTGGAGGTCGAGAGCTCACCCTTTAAATCGGAGTCGAGCGAGCCGTTGCTCAAAGTAGGCTAATACAAGGGTTGCAGAGAGTGCCGCAATAACACGACTCTGTGTAGAGCTACGTGCTTGTTGTAGCACGCAGCGGGATGGAGGGTGTTTTTGACACCGGAAGGAAGTTCGGGTAGAGAGCGCACGAGAACTGTTTTCATATGCCCTTGAGCCGTGCAGCCCGCCGTTCGTTTTCCCTCTTGTCTTCCATACGACCCAAGAAATCCATGCGACCGATATATCCCTCCTTGGCTTTGCTATGCGTGCGCAGCTCGTCTTTGATACCCGCCGAGTCGACGTACGAAGCCCAGTCGAGTCGTGACTTCTCAACGGTGTTGATTTTGGGTCCGCGCGCGTCCTTGTCGGTAACGAGTTGCTTCTCCCAGCTCTTCTTAATCGTGCCGGTCGGGTTAGGGTCGAATCGCGAGATCTTGCGAAGAGGTCGCCGAAGGTTACGAGCGGTGTTTGCGGCTGCGGCATCCTCATCGGTGTATTCGACATTCTCCCCACTCGACAAAAACGCTTTAGCCTCCGCCGAGTGTTTGGGCACAACTTTCTCCTCGGTGATCCATTCTCCCGCAAACTTGTAGGTGCGCTTGATCTTGATCATCTGGTCAGCGTGTGCAGTATGGCCGATTTTGTATTCCGCATCTCTGGTACCCTGGTCCGGTTCTTTCGTTGGTTCAGGTTCGGGGACAGATTCGGGTATCTGCTGGGTCTGGGGTGGCTGCAAGCCGGATTGTCCTTGGGGCGCATTCATCTGCTCCCATAGGGCATTCACGTCCACGGTCGCGCCGTCGATCCTAGCCAGCGGTTTGCGCTGTTCTTCTTGTCTGCTCGGGAACCGCGGGTTAGAACCTGATAATAAGTCAAAAAACATTGGCTAGCACAAAAATCTCACATTTGCTGTTTCATTGCGCGTGTTCGCACAAATCCCCCTGTTCCCCCTTCATCGTCGTCCATGTCAATGTCGCCATCGTCCTCGTCGCTATCGCGCGCGCGTTTGCCCTTGGTCTTCTTTCCCTTGGTCTTCTTCTCTTTCTTCTCCCTCGCTTTTCTGATTGTGGCCTCATCTCCAGAGTCGAGTTCTGCATCCTTCGGGAGCTGAGATTGGGTGACTGTCTTTCGCTTCTTCTTTGCGGGTTCTGCGGCCTCGTCGGCATCGGAAGATAAGTCGGAGTCGTCTGGTGCTGCGTCTAGCTCGAAATCTTCATCCTCGGCGGAGTCATAGGACTCCTCATCAAGGTCCTGATTTTCTGGCAGAGTAGGGTTTGACATTTGCAAAAGATTTTGGGTGTCTGGACTTATCAAAAGAGATCCAGAGCAAGGCGCAACAACGTAAGATGAATTTCTGCCAAAGGCGGTATCGCGGCGATGTATGTTCGTCATCTTCAACTTCCAGACGCCCCTTGCCCATTTATCAATGATATAGATTCTAACAAGTATGGGTGAAACAATCTCTCTTAAATCACGCATCTCATCTCTAGAGACCGCCTATACTGCTATTACAGGTGGCGCTTCTGAAAGAAGCACAAAATTTTCCACATTATTTGCAGTCCGAATGCCAAAATGCGTACGGCCCTAGACGTCCATCGTTTAAGTCACGAATTCTGGTCGAGAGACGTAAGGTCCCAGACCCGCTACTCCCTTGAGGGTTATATGGGACTAGCTCGTGGATAGTATGAGAACGGGGTAAAGGGTTGACGACGGGGCCAGCAATAGTAGCATTTCCCAAGATCATCTGGGAAGGCGCTTGATGGCATCTTTGAAATACTGGTAGGAGAATTATTTGGATATATAAATGAGTCAAGAGAGAATTGGTAAATGATTGAATTGCCCATGATGAGCGAAAGAGATAACATTCATGTTTCGATAGAAGAACAGAGAAGAAAAAAGCCTCCCTGAAACAGACAGCAATGGCCCGAGAAACAGAGCCCTTAGCGGGCTATTCCTCTTAGGCCAAAGCCAAAAAAAATCCATCGAGTAATTGAGATTCAGCCCCAAAGGGGCGCCGCACCGAAACCGCATGCCCTTACGGGGCGTCAGCATCTATAGCACATATGACGGTCAGTATAATTCAGTATCGTGTGATCAATGCATGGTGATGATATAGGAATGGAGGCATGAGTATCGACCAGAAAACATGGTCAAAGCCATTGAGAAAGAAAGCATTGGATGTTGGGTTAGAGAAGCAAATTACTCTTACCTGCCATATCTTCCAGACGAGTTTGGTGTCTGGTCCACGACCGGGGTCCAGTTGGGGCCACCCCGCGGACGACTTGATGGCCGGAGTGTTGGTGGATACGAACTTGGTCACTAGGGGGGTTTTGCCGGCCGGCGTCAACCACTCCAGCGCGGTAGGCAGCACCGTAACTACCCCTGCGGTTATATCCGCCACGGCCACCTTCACGAGTAGCATCACGGCCGCCGCCGCCGCCGCCGCCACGACCATGATGGCCGCCCTGCATATCACCACGGCCTTGGCCTCGACCTCGGCCCCGGAACTGGTCCCCACGGACTGAGCCACCACGTGCACCGAAATCCTGCTATGTGGACCATGCACGTCAGATATCATGGCCAATGCCACCATCCTGAAAGAAGGTCTGGTCTGAAAAATAGGGGAATGGGGGTAATTCTTACCTCTATTCTTAGGTTCACTTGTGCCTCGATTGCACGAACAGTAAGCTCGGCAGCACGGGCATCACGAGCAGCAGAAGGTTGAAATCCCTCTTGCTATAAGTGGTATCAGTATAGTCCCTCCGAATGTCGGGCTGGATGAAAAGCAGGAAATTGAAGTCATAACATACGTCGACCTGGTGCTGAACAGCCCGCACGATCAGCGCAGCGATGCGAGCGTCGTGAGCAGTTTGGGCAGCGACTTGGGGGGCATTTTGCTGTGAGTAATATCAGTATTGCTCTGCAGACATTTTCAACGGTCAATGGTGTGTCCACTAAGCTTACACGGTGCATAGAGCGCCAGGCTTCCTTGCGGCGGCGCTGAGCAGTGCTGCCAACGTCATGTCTGCCACCACCGGGGCCAGACGGGGGAAGTTGCTCGCTCATTTCTTGACAAAGAGATGAAAGAAAGAAAGAAAGAAATGCGCCAGACTGATTCGCTGTGGAACTTCACAGCAGTGTGAGGCGACGAGGGAGAGTTGTGGGCCGAAACAGAAAGGGAAATTTAAAAGGACGTGGGCGTTTGCTCATCGCGGCTCATTAGAGCCATTGTCGCCCTTCTCTTACCGTTTCTGTTCAAGATACATCATATTTGAAATACATATTGGCGCCCTCTGAATCTATCCAAGGTCAGCTTATTCCAGCTCTGGTTATCTAATTCCCTATCACTCTCCCAGGCTATATACATTCTGACCGAAAGCGCCGAGTGATGTTGACGGCGATATTATTAGGAGAAAGAGCCGGAAGTAAATAGGAAAAGCAGTCATTTCTCCAGCGGAAGCTGAGATTATTACTAGCCCAGGATATACAACGGGGACACTGACATTGAAAGGGTCTTGATGATGGCTTGAAGAATACATCTATTTAGTTGTGGTTTAATGCCCTGGACTTCAAGGTGACGAGGACGAGGGCAACAAGGATAAGTAGCAAGGATAAGTAGTATGAGGGTGAGGGTGAGGGCGAGGACCCTCCTGGTTATTCGTCTTCTCCCATGATTATACTGCTTGTAGATGTGATTGACCTTTAGCAACTCTGCCAGGGCACTTTCGCGGCTCAAAAGGATGGCTATAATGGTCGAGCAATCGGCTATCTTGCGAAGATAGCTTTGCCTAAGGCCTCTAGGACCGAGGAGTGCCATCTTCGCAATAAGTAGTAAAAGTAATTAGAAAATGAAAGAAGGTGTAAGAAGCTACATTTGTCTATAATGATAACTTCGCGGTGGCTATTCTATTCATGCAATCAATTAACTGTTGTTCAAGAACCATATATTTTCATGCTCACTCACAGTCTCTAAAGGGGGCAGCCTAAGGCATGTAATGTAGCCTTTCCCTCCACCTGGGCACCATGTGGCGGTCAAATCTGGAGCATTCCATGAAGAAAATAGGTGTTCCATTGTGTAGTTGATGGTAACCGTTTGGCAGTTTGAAATGTATCTGTAGAAGTGAGGTTTTGAGTGTGGGATTACTATTAACTAGCTTATGGCAGGTGCAATGTACACTGACCTCGTGATATAGAAATTGCGGAGTACACTACTATATCTCTATTAATTTCTATTATAGTAGACATTGGCGTATGAAGTCAAGAAAGGATTTCCAAGTCTGGAATGGAGAAGATATCGATGAAGGATGTACGAGGAACTGCTTTCTATTGTAAGACTAATATTATACTAGCTATATTCATAGGAACTTGTACGTAGTCAGTTCCATATATAATGTAGTGGAGACTTGTACATTCCTAATGCGGCTCTAGTCCCTCACCATTGGCCAAGGGGTTTCGAGGAATGCAACCCCAACCTCTAGAATGCGACATCAGAGGTAGTTATGATGTCGAAAAAGCACTTCATTATCACCTTCCATGGTAACTCACAAGCTTGTTTGACCCAGAGGAATACCGCTTTGGGCCAAATTGTCTTCTTCTGGTTCGGATCTTTATCTCTACAATCGAACTTGTTGTATAGGTCTTTTTACTAACCCGGCACACGCAAGGAATGATACATATATATTTTATAGTTGGTTTATTCAACCTTTCTCACTCAATACGTTCAGCTTTTCTGGAAAATAGGAAGAATATATGCTGCCTAGCTAAGAATGTGGACCCTGCAACACATTTCCACGTGGGAGCTTCTTCAGATCCCCCTCCTATGTGCCGGGAATAGACATGGCCTTAAAAGAGGGCTCAACGGTTTCATTGCCTTTAAGATGAATGTAACATTCAGAATCCAAGCTTTCACCCCTGATATAAGGCCTTGAGTGAATCTGCTTGAACTTTAAATCCCATCGACTCATACCTATCAGGACGCATATTATTCGCATATTATTCGCATTTAAGTCCCTTTATTCTTTAATATAGGCTTCTTCAATATCAAGATGCATTTCTTTACTACTCATGTCTCCCTCCTATTTGCTGCATCAGCTACCCTCATCACCGCTCAAGATGCGACACCCACATCGGCAAGCACAAGCGGCAATCCAAACTGCGCTTCCCAAAAGTAAGCCTATAAGACTCTAAGTACCAACAATTTGCTGTTTAAGATTCATTTCTCATAATCAACAGAGTTGTAGATTCTTGCGTCGCGATCATGAAACGGGGACTCGCAAAGTGTGCCTCGAGTGATTGGGACTGTAAGTGCTCGGGTGCTGCAAACATTGCCAAGTGAGTAGACCTTCTGTCTGGCTCTTGCAATTCCTCAATGAGGTATCTATACCTTCCAACCTCGCAGTATTAACATCATTGAACAGCTGTTACGTAGACTGCTCTGATGATGACCCGGATTCGTTCGCAGCCAAACAACTCAGCATAAATGATTGCGCTACCGCGAATGCATATGACCAAGGAGAGACCACCGTCGCACCATCATGGACTCTGCCTGGATCGAATGCCGCACAATCAACCGACATAGATGCTAGTCTAACCATTGGTGACAGCTCGTCTACTACTGCCGGACCGACCAAAGCTTTGACTGGGAATGAGAAGTCAACCAGTCCATCAGAGGGAGCTGGAGTTGTGAATGATGCTGGTAGTTGGATGGCTCTTGTGATTTTAGGGATAGGAGCTACATTTTGAGACGGTTGGCCCCCGGAGGAAGAGTTTACGAGTCTCGGGTGAGTCTACATGATTATTGGATGGAATGACATTGACTTTGGAATATTTGTTCTGCAATATAAATTATAATGATAACAAATATAACAAATCAATCCCCAACATAAATAACCAGAATACATCCCTTCCATCCAGCACGGCAACCATAGATTCATACATATAGATCAGCAACCCAACGCCACGCTTACACAGCACCTAAATCCTGCCTAAATTATTCACTCAATTGCGATACACCTGCTTAGTAGCAATCTCCAACGTCTCAAGTTGGAATTGCTCTGCCCGACGACGAGAAACATCGCGCTGGAACCACGTGCCAACAGCAGCAACGAGTCCCATCAACACCTCCATTCCAAGAAGTACACACAGCAACACAAAGCCAGCACGAGTATTGGCGCAGTCACTATCAAAGTGACGGGGTGTGTTAGTGCTGCTTGTTCCAGATTTCCACTTGCAGGTCCAGCTGTGGAGGGTTTCGTTTTTGCTGAACCCTGCTGGGTAATCCGAAGATGGTAGGTAGATTATGAATAGGATTCCGACCAGGGCGGTTGAAAAGCCTGTGATGGCTGAGGCTGAGGCATAGATATTAAGTGACTTGATACGGGAATGGGGCTAGAAGGGCGTTAGTACATGGTATCAAGGGTAGTCACACGATGGGACGGGTGTAAGACTCACCGATGGTAGAAGCGCAGCGGCAATATACACCAAGTTCAAGATGGTGATTATACAGCCACAGGAAATAGCGGCGATTGTTGGACGGAGGTCAAAGTTCAAAGGCCACAGTGCGAGACCAGCACTCGCCCACTGGGAGGTGTTCTTATAATGCCGCAAGGGTGGGGCTTCGCACGCGATGACGGCAATAGCAACGCCAAAAATCAAGAAAGATAGACCAAGCCGTGCAAAGTGAATGACACGATTGTGTTTTAAAAAGTTTGATTCCTCCATGTCTGAAGAATAAGCACCGCCTGATCCGGTGAGGGACGAGTTTGAGGTCATGATGGAGTGTCGTTGGGCTTCCGTGATATGCTAGAGAGAGGGGTTGAAGGAGAGTGCGTGTAACTGCTAATGACCTTGCCAGCAAGGGTAATCCTTGAAGTGGATATCAAAGAACGAAGAACCCCTCCGGGGCAATGATAAAGAAAAAGAAAGAAAAAAGAAAAGGCAGGTACTATGTTCAGACTCTTGTCTCAAATGATAATTAAGGGATACCAGCTGGGATATGTATATTCGTGGAAACATAGTCCTAAGATTGATCCAGGAACTACCTTAGCAAGCGATAGTTAACTAGTTAGTGTTATCACAGAAGTAACTACCGAATGGGCGCGTATCCCGAAAATGATAATCAGCCCATATTACTGCATATAGCCATGCAGAGCGCCTCGATAGGAAACCGACCGCGCTGATTCGCCTGGGGCTCTGGGTCAAATTTGCAGGACTGTCTAGAATTGTAAACAGTGGCCCTGCAACTTGGACCTGTACAACATACATCCCCGGAGCATAATTGCCTGGGCGCCAGAATGCAGCCTTGGCAGACACATCAGGGAACAAGCACCAACGAAGCGCCTAGTAGAGCCAAAGATAGAGTCTGAGCGGGGTTTGCATCGACCTTATTGAAGAACAGATCTCAATCTCATTTGTCTCTTGGAAAATCTAGTTTTCTCCGAGGGTGGTCATGGTGACCTGTGATAGGTGATGGCGAAAGCGCCGAGCATTGTGCCTGGGGGGCCACCAGCGGCAAGGGTGATTCAGGAACACCGTATCCTTGTCTTGTTTATTCGAGGCATTCTCGTATTCCCTGGATGGATCTAGACCTTGGTCTTTGTGTATCAATATTTCTCCTCAAGTACTACGCTAGACGTGCAACTGTACATAGTAAGTGCATCGAAAGTCGAAAGTAGTCCGTGCGGGGAGAATGACGCAGGTAAGATTGGGTTTTCTATTTTCAAATCAACCTAGCTTCTTATGGTTACATATCTCACCTCTCTGAGTCTTTGTATGATTTTCATTTCCAAGAATCTAAAGTGTCAAAGTGTCGAAGAGTCGAAGAACTGAAGAATCGAAATCCCAAGTAACTAACTGGCTCGTGGGGTCGCCACCGCCATCGGCAGAACTTTTCAGAAATGGCGGGGCAAAAGTGAAGATCCAACTTTCTCTTTGAAACATACCATATCAGAGAGATATAATTGCAATTAGAGCTTGGTTTTGATTTGGAATTCATCATGCCTCTCTCTAAGCTGCAGGGAGTAAAACTCCCCGCCTCGGCCGACTTCCATGGTACTAAGCAATTCCGGGAAATTAATAGATGCAGGCTGACCAAAGATAGTCCATCTTCGTGAGGGTCCAATGATGGATTTGGTGACTCCCACTATCCGACAGGGTGGTGTGAATACCGTTTTCGTTATGGTAAGGGGAATTTCTTTATTGGGGAAACAAATCCTGTCTTTAGAGCTATGTCTAATACACTCAATAGCCCAACCTTGTGCCACCTATCACGACCGTCGACCGTGCTCTGGACTACCAGAAGCGCCTCCAAGCCCTTGAGCCGAATGTCAACTTCCTTATGTCGCTGTATCTGCACGAGACCGTGACCCCGGAGACCATCATTGAAGCCAAGAAGCGCGGCATTGTTGGTGTCAAGAGTTACCCAGCTGGTGTGACGACCAACTCCTCTTCCGGCGTGGTCGACTACACGCAATTCTACCCCGTTTTCGAGGAAATGGAACGACAAAATATGATTTTGAATCTGCACGGAGAAAGTCCTTCTGGAGGTGACGTGACAGTGTTGTCCGCGGAGGAGCGATTCATTCCCAAGCTCTTTGAGCTGCACTCCAAGTTCCCCAAGCTGCGCATCATTTTGGAGCACTGTACCACTGCTGCGGCTGTGGAGGCTGTGAAGAAGTGCGGTCCTACGGTTTCTGGTACCATCACTGCTCATCACCTATCCATTATTATCGACTCATGGGCCGGCGACCCATTCTGCTTCTGCAAACCCGTTGCTAAGACTCCAGCCGACCGGGATGCCCTTCTCCGTGCTGCTGTTTCAGGAAACCCTAAGTTCTTCTTCGGCTCTGACAGCGCCCCGCACCCTGCGGCATCCAAGCGTGGCGGCGAGAAGATCGCTGCCGGCGTCTTCACCCAACCATACACCACTCAGGTCGTGTTTGATGCCTTTGAGCAGGCCTGTGATAACGGTGTCCTCGAAGAGGATGAGATCACGCTAGAAATTGTCGAGGGTTTCATGAGCAAGTTCGGACGGGCCTTCTATGGCCTCCCGGAGGAGCAGAAGGAATTCATCACCATCGAGAGAAAGGGCGAGAAGATCTCAGAGATCCTCCAGTCAGACAAGATTGACGTGGTCCCCTTCAGAAAGACCCAAGAGACATGGAGCATCACTTGGTCTTAGTAACCCGACCAGTACATATTCAATAATAGTCGTAGGAACAAACCCTTGTTTTCTCACATGCACATCCCCTTACACAGACTTGTCTTGCGTAAGCATGTTTGCCACACTTTCAAGGGCGTGGGCCTCTCTGATGTCGATTCTGCGACCTGCGACCACTGGATTTCCATCGTTACCCATAGCAAGCTGACCAGCTCGCTCGAGATGGAGTCGAATTCTGCTCTCGATGTATTCCTTTCTCTCGTCTCTCTTGGACTTAGTTTCCATTGGCACCGTTGCATTGGGCAGAGCTGCCAGTCTCGGCCGGAGCTGCTCAAGTGTCGTCTGCAACGCGGGCAGCTGCGAGAGAATGAAAGTAGTGTTGGTTGTAAGAGGCGTGGGTTTAGCATTCGGTCCAGCATCCACACCAACACGAAGTTGGCGCGCAGCTGGGGTAGAGGTCAAGAAGGACAAATCCACTGGTATCTTTTCGACCGTCTTGGACACGCCGTCTGCCTTGGCTGTTTCGACTGTCGACAGAATAGATTGTAGTTGTGAGATGACCGCGTCATTTCGAGCGCGTTCCTCTTTTAGGGACCGGTTCAGTTTCTTTGTCTCGAACAACTTCTTGCGTTGCGCATGTATGGTTTCTGGCGTCGGCGTATCGGGCGAAGATCCGAAAGAGAGACCCTAGCACAATGGACATTAGTATCTCTCCTGTTCCAAAACTTCTAGAAATCTTAGGTCTAGAAATCTATGAATGACTCCACATACCTCGTAATGCTTCAGCCGTACCCAAGAGAGCAAGTCCCCGGGCACCGTGAGAATGTTGCGTAGCACATAGATCTCAAACTTATCGAAGGCCTTATCAACATTGGCCTCTAGCAGCGTCTCTAGCTGATGCAGTCCATTCTCGATCTCTAGCTTTGCCTCGGGATAAACGACATTGCCATCCTCGTCTGTTTCCGCGATGCTAGGTCCACTGCTGTCATGGGAGAAACCGAGTCGTTCAGGCGGCGTATTGAGGAGTCCGGACTCTAAGCTAGAGATCGCTTGATAGATCAGGTTGTTGATGGAGTTGATAATGTCATCTATGAGAGACTAGGGAACTGTCAGCGATATTCCTAGTTGCAAGGGGTGAGTCGCAGGTTGCAGATCGCAGGTCGCGCGTGCAGCACGAGTCAATGCGTATCAGTCTCGATTTACGTACCAAGGGTGTGTAACTGAAGTGCTCAGTGAGCAAAGATGTCGTCGCGTCATCCATCGCGAAAAGATTGGCCTCGGCGGGCTGAGCTTGAAGTGGTGAAGGAACAAAACACGCGCGGGGGAAATCCCGCTAGCCACCGCCTTCCGTCGACTATCAACTACAACATTCTTGGTGACATCCAGCTTTCGTTCAAATCAAACTAGATTCTTGATCTTCCCCCTCTCCGGCTTTTATTTTATCATCTCCGATGCATACTGCAGGCTTGCTACGTTGTACATTATTTGATGTCAGACTGACACACGAGTCTCATCCCGCCTCTCAACCCAGTCACCAGGTACCCGGCAGCGTTGATATCCAGCTGAAGCAAGACCCTTGTACTTAGCTGTCAGCATCTTCTGTACAATGTGACAGATGATCATCCCCTGGAATATGTTCTGATTTGAACGACCGGACTGTCGGGCCATTGGGAGGTTATGATCTAGTCCAGGTGAGACACCGACTTTGCCCCCATATGTCTCCTAGCTGTAGAGGCGAAAAAAAAAGATATTTAATCTGTGCTCGAGGATCCTGAACAATCTCCATATGTAGGAGTGCGCTCTCTAGGAATTACTGAAAAGGCGTAGAGACAATCCTAACCTTCAGTCTTGTCTATCTCGGTAAGAACTCATCCAGGCAAACCTCTCAAGGGACTACTCCTCACATCTCCAGTCCACAATGTCCCAGGGAAACCCTCTTCGAGTCCTAGTCATCGTCTCGCAGCGGAGTTCTCAGATATCCAAAGCCCAGAACAACCCAGAGGCCCTCCTACCAAAAGCCATCCGCCTCCTCAAATCAAGCCATCTGTACATTCCACAAGAAGCTCGCCCAGCAACAAAGCTAGTGGCAGCTCAAAAGTGGCGAACGCGAGTATTCTTCGTCTTCGACATTTGCCACACGACCTATGACGCCAAGCTCGGCCATCTGCCCGAGCAGAACAAGCTCCCCGTTGCTGTAGTTCATCTTAGTAAAAAGAACACGGCCTATGTGGCGAACGCGTGGTTGTCGAAAAGGGTGAACCGAGATATTGCACTGTTTCACAATGCAAATGGTTTCGGGGCTGTGCCGCCCTTTGTGGAGGATCATACCGTGGGAAAGCCACCTGAGTATATGAACCCGAGAGATGTTTCACTCTTGCAGGCCTATTGCGTTTGAAGATGTTTGGATTAGAAGTGTTGCATGCATTTTGCTGATTATGTGGTATCTTGAACAATAAACAATGAGCCATAATGCATAATGAATTTGAACCAACGCCGTGACCCTTTGTAGAGGAGATGCATGGGCTAGAAATCCATCGTGAGCTGTGGGGCCATTTTCTCAAGATCTTCAACCTATAGCACCGATCAGAATACCCAGGATACGGCAATTAGAGGATAAAATAATGAAGACTTACTTCGAGGAACCCGTCCCCAAGACTTCTGCCACCGGTATTTCCATCTGACTCGGTCCTCTCATAAGCAGATCGGGCGATGGCTTCCCTCACAAAAATATCAATATACTTGGCAACAACGTTATTGGCATCTTTTGCGACCTTGGTCTTCTCATTCTGGAAATGCTGGTGCAGCAAGCGTGTGAGCAGTTTGGAAGGTATTTTCGGGTCGCTGGACGTCACATCCTGTGCTTGGTTTGTAGTTGTGATTTCAGCAAGGATATAGTCCGGCTCTTGAGAGAGCGAGCGCGAGCGACTGCGGCTTCCATTGGAGTAGGACTCAGATTCAGATTCGGAGGCGGCATTGGCTGCCGGAGAATCGGGTCGGGGGCGTTTCCCGATACTTGTAGATTTACTCTGGGTTGCAGACTTGCTTTGAGTCGTGGGTTTGCTCTTTGTTGTTTTGGGCATGGTTGTGGACGCAGAAGCTTTTGTGCTGGTTTGTTTCGCTTTTCCTTTGGCCTTCGACACGGAGCTGGATGGTCCCGCGCTAGTTGTGCGACTGGGAGGTTTGAAGGGGAGACGTGGGCGCTTTTGAGCTGGTTGAGGTTCGCCGGGCATCTTGGTATCCTAGGTAATCCAGGTATGCGATGGGTGATACGGGGAATCGCAAGTAGTAATGGTGAGGGTGATTGGGGATATCGGTGAAATTGGGGAACACCCCAACGCGGACGCGATCTACAGTACGCGCTGTCAGGTGATGAGGGGAGACCCTACTTTTCTAGTTGTGATAGGCTTGATGCTCTTTTGCTTTTCTTTGCTCTCTCTCTCTTTTTTCTTTTCTGTGCTTTTCGTTTTCCAAAGTTACGTACATGCTTTCCACAGTTACTAGTCTCAAGTATCATCATAAAATGAAGAGTGATGCATTAAACCCTCGCTCCTCCTCAACACACCAGGTAGAAACCCACGAGCCAAAGCCCTTGTTAACGGAGAGGAAGTAGATATCTTGATTCTCTTAATCCTGGCCAATCTCGCTGGGATGCGCCATGCGAACGGGGCGAGCGCGGCGGTTGCTAGCCTCAAAGGGGTGGTACACATTGACATGAAGACCGACCGTGTCGATCAATTTACAAATGCGTTCCCAGGGGACATTGAATAAGCCGGTGCAGAAGCGGCTGGAGTAAAGTCTCTGGGGTCGCTCATTACCGGTTTCTAAAGCCTGCTGGGAAAGAACTTGTAGCTGTCCACTCAGGTCCTGTAGGGCAGCAAAAGTGCTGTTGACGATCATGTCCTCCGAATCCACGCGGCTGCCATAATACTCCGAGGTAAAGAGGCAGATTATCCAATGGCGACGGCGATGTAGGAGGAAGTCACTCTGTTGTGGTGGAATCATGACTGCGGTACCGAGGGGACGGCTGACAACGAGAGAGGGCTGCGGGTCCTCGTCGCGTAGGTCGGTGATGGTGTTGGTGACTGGGTGACCACGATAACCGAGACAGTGGTTACGATAGATCTCGTAGGCGGCGGGATACTAAAAAAAACATGTCTTATTAGCTCTAGATTGTCGCATCAAGTGAATGAGTTATTGATCGACCAACCCGCTCACGAAATGCACGGGCAATGCCTGCACCCCAGGCACCCTGGCAGTTGCACGCATCTACATTGACAACGTTAGTGGGGGAAATAAACAGTCGCTAAATAAGGGGTTCTCACGGATTAGAGCAGCGCCATTGGGGGCATCGAACAGATCGCCGGGGGTCTCCTGGACAAAGCTGACGGCAGGCAAAGACGATGTCATCAAGGTCAACGACTCATCGCTGTCAGTGCAGTCAATCGCTGCAACCTGATTATCACCTGTGTCAGACATTATATTCTGTGGTAGATGGAGAAACCAAACGAAGAAACTGGAATTTTCTCATGCTCCCTAAGAAGGGTTGAGGGAAGTGAGGACAGTATCGGGGGAAAGGGTTTAAGAGAGCATAATGGAGCAAGATTTGGGTGTTTTATCGTCCCAACTATCACGGTCTCCCGTGGAGCTCGCAAGACAACGCATCTTTACCAACTTCAGAAAAAAAGATATACTTACACGGACCCCTTGGAAATAAAGGAAGCAAAGGGGAAAATACACACTAAATTGATGTCACCTAACTTGGTTTTGTGCTAAGAGGAAGACTCGATGCAGTATGGCCAAGGATGCATGGTATAATCATATAGAATGAATCCATGGATGGTTTGATACAGCGAAGCCACATGCCGAATCCCTATTAAGAAGATACCCAACGCAATCAAATACATCACCCATTGCACTTTGTGATTCTCAAACAGACCCTTGTAAGTCAATCCTTCTTTCCCTTCGTGGCTGTGAATGGCTTCTTTGTGGTCATGGTCAGCTCTCCCAATTCGCCCAAACGACGGTTAACAAAACTTTTCAAGCTCTCTCTTTTCTTCAAGGTTCGTTCACATTTCTCGTCCTTGGATGAGACCTGCTTGATTGATTCCCTCTTTGGTGACTCCATAAGCTCTTTTTCGTCTGTCTGATGTGGCTTTGGCGGAGGGACCTGACGTGAAGCAAACGCGACTGGCGAAGTTGAAGCAGGGCTAGCGACATCGGGGCTCATGACTGAAGTGAGGGAGTTCGGAACACTGTTGCCGCTGCTCGATTTTATGCGACGACTCATGGATCGCGAGATAGACTTGAGGATCGAGGGACTATTACTAGAATCAATTCGTTCGAGGCGGTCGATCTCACTCCTGGCGGTCATCCCATTGGTTGCAAGATTGTCTTCGCTCGCTGGGGTGTAGATCACCACCCCTTTGTCGGGGGCGATGCTAAACATTTCTTGAATGGATGACTGGATTAGGCCGGTGTTGCGGAGGTTAGTGAGCGGTCCGATCAGACTCGAGAGAGCCGTGATCTTCAACAGGTACGCCGAGTCGGAGGTATTTCCGAAAAGCAGCTCAGCATTCTGGTCGATGGTGACTAGCATTGATGTTTCCGGACGCTGATAGACCTGGGCAAGGAAGTGGGCAAAATCCGACAGTAACTTGGGTGTATCATCCTTTGCCTAGTTGGTGGATTAGCAGGGAGTGATCACCAAGCAGATGTCAGCACGTCACATACTTTAGTGTTGGTCTTGAGCTCAACGACAACAACAGATTCATGAGCTACGCGGTCCTTGGGGGAATTGTGCGATCCACGAGCCGTAAATGCGTCTTCGTAGTACAACTTTTTCACCTTGGTTAACGGCGAATCGTCCACACTTTTCTGGCAAAGATAGATAGGCATGCTCTCTGAGGCAAGACGTGTGGCGGGCGCGATGTTTTCCTCGTCATGATTTTCCTCTTTGAACATTGATGAAGTTCTCGCTGGCCTCTCGGGAATGACGATCGGGGGTGCGCTGGCATCAAGAGATTTTGGTACAGCATTGCACGATGCATTAGGGGGTTTCTGTAGTAGGGGAACGTTGGTGGTCAAGCGAGGCAAAGACGGTTTCTTCTTGGAATGGTCCATTTTATGTGACATTTAAGGGGGGGGGGGGTTGAGTAATGAGGTGATGAAAGTTGAAACGTTATGATAGCAACAAGAACCCGTAGACCTTGGGACCTTCCAAGGGATGAGGCAGAAAAGTAAACAAAAACGGAAGGTACGAAGGTACGAGGGTGCAAAGGTGTAAAGGTGCAACTTCAGGCAAGAAAGGCCAATTCGCTGAAGGCCGAGTTTCCACTCAGAAAGATTTTGTCAATACGTCTCCTTCTGTCCCAAACAATATCCCCATTGGTGTGTCTGATATACAAAACCCGATGCTGTGGAATGAATTCTTCGTCGGTGGTCTCCTTCTTCCAACTACCCATGGTGGTTTCCAGTTGTCCTTCAAATCGGTCCACGAATCCAATGACATAGTTGCTGCGTTCAAACGCCGAATCCCAAGTGATGCGATTGATGATATCTGTAAGTTGTCAAATTGTTAAACATGGCGATATATACATTTCTCGACCTAATTACCTACCTCCAGCGGGGCGTAGTCTGTTTTCGCCGGCCTTGGGGTCATACTCAGGCGAAACACTTCGCTGATCTCGCTTTCGATGCGAGATCGTTGACTCTGGTGGGAATTGGGATGCCTCTTGTCCCGTAGTCATATTGGCATTTGTTTCGCTCGGGTTATTTGAAGGCATGCTTTTTAATGGTTCAAGAATACCGGGATCTTCAAGTTGTTTTTCACTACCTAATCTCGAAGCTGGTTTGACATATATATGTCACCGTAATGACACAGGTCAGGCACCTTTTTTCTCCATCTCGATTACGCGTTTGCGAGCCTCAGCCTTGTGCAGCTGGGGGTGAAACATCAGAATGATTCACGCATAGTCATAAACGGAGTGGTGTCCTACGGCTTCGAGTGATAGGCTTAGGCCGCAGCCCTTAGGATGCCGATGACTCAGATTGCGATTGTGGCTCGGTCTCGGTGACTCATGGATCCCACCAGGAACTACCAATGACCTTCGCATTACCCCAAAAAAAATGGTCACAAGGCATACGGCATTATGATACAAGATCGAAACTAGTGAGAGGAAAAAAAGAACACAAAAAAGATACTCCGATAGGGGGAATCGAACCCCCGGCTGCCGTGTGAGAGACGGCGATGTTAGCCACTACACCATATCGGATATTGGATGGAAGTTTTTTCCGATTTGGCGTTATCAATTAGTGTTTGACTCTCCTCCTTTTGCTATCCTCGTACGTGCTTCCTCTTTAGACCTCCGCAGAGCCCCCAGAGCCCCAAAGCCCAAAGCCCAAAGCCCAACCCGCAAATGGGCCGGGGTTTGGGTCCTAAACAGTGTAAACATGCCGAGAAATCGAGATACTAAGTAAAGTTGAACCCCTTTTTTAATTCTTTTTATTAAACCTATATTTAGCACCGTTCCCAACTATAATACCTAAGGTAATATTTTATTGATTTAGACGATTTAGAATCAGTTACTAGTTATATTTCAGTATCACGTTTAAGAGCGCGAGAAAATACGTTGATTTAGATGATTTAAAAATTACAGAGGCTTAAAGTAATAGTACTCTTATACAAATCCTAGATATATATATATCTAATATCAAAATACCAACATTCATCTTTTCTACGATATCTCGACTTTTACCGGTCAGATTTCGGTTAAAATTGAAATATATACTCATACAGTTTCCATAATTTGATTTTCTAATTTGAACTTTATACGATCAGTAGAAGGTTGTAATATCGCGATTACAGAGCCCGATTTGTTAGTGCCGAGATAGGCTTAAGGCGTCGGGCCCACTTATGGGCTTTGCGGAGGTCTAGTCCTCTCTATCCTCCTATATGTTTGTCGTTTCTTACCTCTTTCTAAGGTTGATCTAGTGAGGAATTTTTCTGATTCATCCGAATCCCCGAGCTCCGCCACTTACGTTGCTCTTAGACCTTGCCAACTCCGATGGGACCAATAGAGTAGTACTAAAGACTCTTATAACGTTTATTTAGTAGATTTCTAGCTATATTTAGCAACTCCTCTACATCCTACTACCGCCACATCGCATAATTATGAGAAGCTTAATAATAAGACTAGCTACTGTCATACGCCAAAATGAAGAATAGTTCATAATTGAATTGATCAAGATATTGGGCCACAATGGGACCAATGCTAGATTTCTATCCACAAAGATTTTGGGGGATTATTTAACTATCAAGAGCAACTACGGATAAAACAGACGTCGCGTCCTTTGTAGAAGCAGAAATCACATCCTCCGAGACATCCCCTGTTCTCCACATCCCCAATCCTATAAAACGTCCATTCACAGAATAATATGTGCCTACGCAGCGACTGTTGCGGGTTTGGCGCTCTTCGTCCCAGAACCATTCGAACGACCGTAAACTCAGCATTGGCTGTAGCATATATTGGGTCGCCAACGAATGAATGTCTTCGCTATCCATGGAGGTTAAGATCGACTGCCATTTCTCGGTGGAAAGGTTTCTCCCTAGCAGGATCCCAGTTCCGCGAGCATCCCGGGCAGGTTTGATTATATACTGGTCTTTTATCTCGGGGTTGGTGTGGGTGCGACAGAGGAGGTTTCTGAACTCAGCTGTGCCGGGGAGGATGGTAGGGATTATATGCTCACGTAGAGTCTGTGCTTGTGCAGGAGACAACACCCGTTGTGTATCCACGAGGCTGTCTAGCTCCTGGAGGATGATGCCCAAGATGCGTTTATCGTGGGCGAGGAACACGCTCCGGGGGTCATTTCTGCAGCACGCGGCAATGTGTCGCACCATTTCGGGGGATAGAGAGAAGAGTTCGAAGTCGTAAAGCTGCAGACCCACCATGTGCACTGGTTCCAATATCTCACCACATACTTCCAGCAGAGATTGAGGGGGAGTTTTGACCGTGGGATCTGCACCCCAGACGCAGCACAAGGTAAACCCGGTTTTACTAGTTGCACAAGGCACCAGACGAAGATCACTAGGCCTGACAGTTCTCGGCCTTGCTCCGGTTCGCTCTTCGATATGACCGAATAGAGGGCTATCGGACGGGAAGGTTTGACTTCCCTTGACAAAGTGAATGGGGCCATTCGAATCGAACAAATCAAAAAGGCTCTCTTGAAGTGCATTGTATTTAGTGGCTGGTTCGATCAAGGGAGTATCCCATGTGCTGCCGGCTAGTGCCTCATAGGCCGTTGCGACGTAGTGGAGGAAACTGATCGGAAACCGGCCGTTGATTTCACAGACGCGAAATTCGGGGATTGTCCGATTCGTCACTGGGAGTAAGATATCTGGTCGAAGATTGCCTTGGTGGTCTTGGAAGCATGGTATGATACCATCTGTAGTCGCCTTATCTACCCACTGCAAGAGCTCCTCGACATGAGTTTCTAGTGGCATTCGGCTGGGGAAGTCAGCCTCCTTGTCCGTCCACCACCTTTCGATAATGCTATTCAGAGCTGTGACGAGTGCTTCGTTGAAGGTCTCCAACTCTTTTACAAACTGCCATGGCAAGAGTGCTGGGTGGGGATTAAGTCTTTTCGTAGCTCCTGGAAGTGCACCATACGGACGAACATAATCTGCCAATCTCTCCTGCAGTTCCTTGTTTTCACGAATGCGAATTGCTGGGTGAACCTGCCCTGGCAGAACGGGGTGTTGCGGATCCTGCGTGCCACTCAATGATATTTGAAGCAGCCACGGCGACCTTTTGGCGAGAACACTAGGTATCTCTTTCTCAACGATCACCATTGACTATTACACCAGTCAGTCAGTCTATCGCTGGCTCTGTCAATAAAGTACACTTACATTTCTGAATGAGGCACCCATCCTCATTCCCAAGAAACTTTTAAAAGGCATCGTCTCTTTGGTAAAGTAGCGATACATCTCCTTTCCGACGGGACCTGCGTCCGTCTCGAGAACCTCGGAGAGTGTAGACCGCACAATAGCCCATCCATCTTCTGCACCTTCCAGGCCGAGCGCATATAGCATGTAGCCAATGTTGTTTTGTAGAAGTGCATGATGAACCCTGTTCCACACTTGGTTGAGATCATCCGTGCATAGTCCAGCATCTACATCAAAGCCCTGATTTTTTAGCGTCGGCCCATGCATTTTCACTCCGGCTAAGTCTCGGATTGCGAACCCCTTGATTGCCTTCGACTTGCGACAAATGCGAGCGACGGTATTCTGGGCATGAAGCTCGCATCCGACACTGTGACGTAGTAATGGATCCAACCCAAGGCGCAGAAGGCATTTGATATAGCTATTTACCATATCAGCCAAGGTAAATATTCTTCGAAATAAACAAAACGAACCGCCTGAACCATTTCTTCTTTTCAGTCATCGTTTTCAGGTCAAACAAGATTTCTGCGTACGTCTGTTGACTACCTAATGGCTTTTCCATCAGTGCCGAGACCAGGATGAGTGCCTCGTCATTTTCTTGTGCCTTTGGGACTAGGTTCTCCCTGAGAATACATGTCAAGTGGCGAGCTTCACTTTTGTCTTCCTGACTTCCAGTCACAGCAGCAACCTCTCCGAACAGCCATAGGTCCTCTGGAAGAATCTCCTGCATCAACGCAGTTGTACCCGGTGCTGCAGCTGCAGACCAACACGGTAGGACTCGTAGCGCCGAGGTAATCTGGCATGCAAGAGAGAATTTCACGTCAAATTCATAACCAGTGATGGAGACTGTTCGGATAGCAGCGTGCGCCTTTGCCGCACCGGGGACAGACTTGACGTGCTCTGCCTCTGGGAAGTAATTTAAAACAGCTGGTAGTTGTCGGGAAAGGCAAGGTATTATAACCAAGTCATTAGAAACTGGGGGAGTAACTCCCAAACATTTGGCCAGAGAATGGGTTAGCTCTTCGAATGGTCCATACATATGAATCGAAGACCGCGGGATGAGGACTAGTGATATACCCGGATTGAGCATACCAGGTAGATCCTCTGGTCCAACTGGTTCTACCAGATTATCAGCGAAGCATGTCCGATGAAACTGTAATTCAAGTTAGCAAGTATTGATCAAATCTGGCTTTGAGTGTGGATATACCGGGTGAGTCGGATGGCCTAGAATGAGGGAAGCTTCCCATTCCAGAAACGAGGAATTAATATCTAGCACTGGCTTGGTGACAGAAATCTCCAGCCATTTACCTCGTATCAATTAGTAAACTAACTAACAAGGTTATGAACTAACATACATACTTGACATGGATACGCAATTGCGTAGTTCACGAGTAATCGCATCCTTCGTTGGCTCATCACATGCAAACCCTGGCGCGAAGAATTCAAACACAGCTCCAGGATCATTTTCTTGAACTTCATGGTCTAAACCGTCGAAGACGACGGGGAGTTTGAAATCATTCGGCCGCCAGTGATGAGAACTAAGGGGAGGCGAGAAAGAGAATAGGTCCACTTTTGCTCGTCGTGTCGAGTTGCTGCCTTCTGCAGTCAAAAAACATGACCATTTCTGAGATTGAGGAGGTGGTGGCAGTAAGTGAATGTTCACCAGCCCTTCGTTGGCGAGTTGCGCAAGCAGACGCTTAGTGGTCTCGGCCATGGCGTGGGGCTGGAATGTTGTGACAGTCATGGCGTTTGAAAAAAATAAAGGTATTGAGTATGAAAAGAGAGATGTCAGGGATTACGACTTCTTAATTGTGGTTCAATCTACCTGACTGACTCAAATATGCAAGACCAATACAATAGTGTGCATTTACGAAATGCATATAATTATTTCCTTCTGTCCTCGTAAATATGTTGTATCATTCATAAATTATGACACCATTAATGAGTTAATGGCACTTGATCAATCAGGCCTGTCGATCACTTCTAAACTTCTATATTGTACTCTGCATCACCACTTTCGTATGTGTAACGTTATAGATATCGACTTGTCTACGGAGTAGACCGATCGCTCCACTAAAATAAGGACTAGTCCTAATGGAGAAGATCGACGGTCACAAGCGTAAGGTAACTTTCAAGTACCATTATACTAGGAGGTAATGCCTATGGGTAGAGAGTGTGGAAACAGACCTTAGTATATTTAAATAGCTAGGAACTATTGTATAGTAACCTACTACTACATATGCACCCTACTACATATGCAGCTAGAAACATGTTTCTTACCAGTCTCTCGCCGGCAACCGGATTGCGTACAAGAGAAAGTAAGAAGAGTTGAAATTTACAAACGCGTAACTTATCTCGGGACATCGGGATCCACACTTAGTCCAATTAGGTAATTTCTAGCATTCCAAGGTTGTCGGGGAAGCACTACGTCTACGATCGGTAGAACCTATCCATGGATACCTCCTCGGAAGTAGGTAGGCTTGATAGATCAATTCTGCAGACCCCAGTCGGCAGATCGCTCTTAACCCCCGCTCTACACCGCTGGGTACGACACATGATCTTCAATGTAGCATGCATCTGCAATGCCTGATGTTTACCAAATTAACGTGCCAATCATCAGAAGATCTCATTAGCCTTCAGCTTGAACCTTCAAGATTTTACCTAATGGTTTTACCTTGCATGCAGGAGCTTTCAGCTCCGCCTTGTCTCCTAATTTGCCCGGCATACTTGGTGGTCGGAGCTAAACCGAGAAGCAAAAGCAATACATTAGGAGCAGTGATCATGGCTCAACATTCACGCCCAGAAGTATATCTTTGTTCCTAATTTCAGAGATTTATACTGACGACGATTTTGCTGAGCCTTAGGTCATAATTCATAATGGGAGACATTGGAATAGACTCACGGCCATGCATGCCTCCAATGGTACCTCAGGCGTTGCCGTTGGGAAAAGGAAATATGTTTCCCTCTGATGATGCACATGTAAGTAGATAGACTAACTAACCGGAAGGGAAGCACTGTCTAATCGATGGGAGTCAGTCTGTCAGCGTGTCTCTTCCAACTTGGGACTCGGTCATTGGACTATCACGAAAAGAAGACTGGGTATTGGAGAAGCTGTCATGTAGCTATCCACGGTAAGTAATAATCTGTTACATCAAAGATGATCAAAATGTTGATCATGGGGACAGTTTTTACCTCAATAAACAAATCCGTCACCTTGCCGATGCTGTATTGCAACGGCTTCAAATCACCGACAAAAACATCGGTTGCATGGTGTTTCCCTCTCCCAAAACTGGTCAAGGATGCACTTCCCTTCTCCATGCAGAGTCTGTGAAAAAGCAATTGGGACTGGAGTTGGTTCGATTCCTTATACCTGCAGAGTTAAGCACTCCAGAAATTACTGGGGCGCATTGGGCCAATTTCTCTGCTGTTCTTTTCCACAACGATCTGAAGAAGGCCGCTATGGGCTATTGGCGTGATACGGGAGCAGGTCTTTCTACGCGTCATGCGTCATTCTGTCTCGAAAATTTTGACTACTTGAAATCCGAGGCCGTGAACCCTGAACTGCGGACTCCAGCGCCCAAGAAAATAGAATCCCATCGCCAGATGCCAGGGTATTCGACTCAGATGCAGAATGAAGAAGCAAACAAGCAAGTGATTCAGACCTTCATTGCACAGTTAGCAACTTCGGAGCAGCCAGGACAGTCTGCGGTGGCAACTAGGGATGTGTTTCTCTACCCCACTGGAATGAATGCAATTTATTCTCTGTCGGAGAGTTTGGTCTCGCTGGAGTCACACGCCCAGGTGGCGGCGTACGGATGGCTGTACCCAGAAACTGTCGAGGTACTCCGACAAGGAGCGTGGAAGAACGTCCTGTCGTTTAAATACGGGACAGAAAAAGAATTGGACCAGCTGGAGAGCATGTTGCTATCCGGCCAACGGATTCACACTCTCTTTTGTGAGCTGCCCAGTAATATCAAACTCTCGTCACCAAATCTACACCGCATCCGCGCTTTAGCGGATCAATATGGCTTCATTGTTGCCTGCGATGACACTGTCGCTGGCTACGTCAATATAGATGCGCTCCCCTATGTAGATGTCATGATATCGAGTTTGACCAAAACTTTCAGTGGAGGTTCCAATGTGACCGGAGGAAGGTATGTTTCTGAACCCCCATCCATTGGGTGAATTCATCTGACACATTTAGCCTGGTCATTAATCCCAACTCCCGTTATTACGGTACTATCCACGCTGTTCTCTCCAACAACTACGAAAACATCTATTTCCCTCTTGATCTCGGCACGCTCTTGCATAACTGCCAAGACATTGCCTGGCGGGTGAGGAAATGCAATCAGAACACGCTCCCTCTTGTCAACTTATTCACAGAGCACGCCTCCATTGCCCAAGTGAACTACCCTTCTATTGACCCAACCGCTCATTTATACACGAGACTCATTCGCAAAGGCGGTGGCTATGGTAATGTCCTCAGCATTATCTTTCACCACCCCAGCAGTGCAGAGCGATTCTACAATGTTCTAGATGTCTGCAAGGGGTCTAGCTTTGGTACCAATTTTACACTGGCCATCCCCTATGTCCAGCTAGCAAATTACTGGAACCGTGACAAGGTGCCTAAATACGGAGTGCCCCAGCATATTATTCGGATCAGTGTTGGGATGGAAGACAGCGAAGAGTTGATCCAGACCATGTCCAAAGCTCTTGATGAGGTTGTGAAACTTGAGTCGACAAGCACTTGAATTTCTGGCATGATAGATCAATGTTAATCGTTAAACCCTATTCTAAGCGCGTAATTCTGTATCCAAGAATAACCACCCAATGTACCTGCTAATGGGTGTATGGCGTATACCATCTATATATGCCATTCCTTCACTGCTGATTTCAGAAGAAAGATCCTGTAATTAGTATAATAGACAGTACTCGTTTGTATAAAACATGAAGAATACTAATTAGCTTAAAAGTCCAGACTTCCTACCACAATGCGGTAAATACGATCGACATATCTTGCATGATCAGCGGTTCCTTCTGGTAGATGACCAATGTCGACAACTAAAATGACAAACCCCGCTATTTCAACAATCTGTGCAGACCTCGATGAACAAACTGTAATATACACTTTTGTATGGATGCCTGGTATCCATAATACCTGGTTTCTACCATGTATTCGGACTTGGTATTCGACAGGTTCCACTATGTTCCTTCAGCTGACGTCCAGCTTCAGCTCAAGAGCCGAACATGCACGATAGATTAGTGAAATAACATCTTGGAAATTGACACGTCTGATTTGCTTAGCGTATTTTAAATGACATCCCGAAACAGGGTTTCAGAGGATACTCTTCTTCTTCTCCCACCCTCACAATAGCAAGATTCCTACAAAACAAATACACATATGCCTTGCAGCATAGGTGACAACAATGCTATCCATCCGACCTTTAAAACACGCGCCCAGGTCCGCTGTTGATTTCGGGGTAACAATCGACAATATTGACCTCGAGAACCTGACCGGTATAGACCACTGTCAACACATTGTGAGACCCCAGCTAAACGATTGAATAGATGATGACTTCGCCATCATTCGTGACGCTCTATATAACCATCATCTTATTCTATTCAAAAATCTACCGAATCTCTCCCCCAAAGCTCAATACGAGCTGACCAAACGTTTTGATCCGTCCTCCGAAGCGTACGGCCACGACAAAACCTGTAGTCATGACATGCACAAATTTTTCATGGGAGTCCCCGACCAGCCCCAAGTCCAGATTAAGGGACATGGCTTCGTCGATTCTTTCATGGGCCTCCACAACATCAAGCTGTGGCATCCTCACCATCGTAATTCTCACCGTGAAGTGATTCCCGAGGACAAAAGTGACGCATATACCCGCTTCAATCGCTGGCATATTGATGCGGCGTTGTATGATCTCAATCCGCCCAAAGTCACTACCCTTATGGCGGTGAAAGTGCCCCAAGGACGTCGCCAGACAGTATTATACGATGATGGTTCAGGAGAGGAGCTGGATGCATCTCTCGCAACCACAGCGTTTATATCTGGTGAGAATATGTTCAACATGCTTTCTCCGCAAGATCAGGAATTTGTCCGCACAAGCAAAGCTGAATACGCGCCACATCCGTACGTTATTACCCATAGATGCAAATTGTAACTAGAAAAAAAGCCGCTGACCCGATGAATAGATTCAACTGGTGCAAACCCGCCAAAGTGCACCCCACCGGTCTAAGCATATATACCGAAGGCCTCGAAATGCCCGAATCCGAACTACCCCCTATAGACCCTTCCAAGATTCAAATTCTACCCATGGCCTGGAAGAATCCGGTAACTGGTAAGCTATCTCTACAGGTCCACCCAAGTGCAATTCGCAAAATCCATCTCGAGGACGGGAGTATTATCGACAACTTAAAACAGGTTCGAGATGTTATCTACTGTCTTCAACGTCCTGCAATCAGCCCGCAGTATGTATATGCACATGACTGGGAGGAGGGAGATATGGTGCTTTTCAATAACCACGGTGTATTACATACAGTTGTGGGATCGTTGAGACCGGATGATATAAGAATTTTTAGGCAGTGCAATCTTGCTGGGTCGGAGCCCCCAGAGGGGCCGTGATCGTTTCCCTTTTCCACTCTCTGCTGTATGCACCTAGCTCTTGAATGCGACACCTTTTTTTTTAAAAATAAAATATCACCTAAAAAGCTCCGCCATAGAATGTCTCGACTCCCATTAACATAGCCCTTCTCAGTCATATAGGCATACACGAAGTGAGAACTGTCTCAAAGCTTCTGCCAACGTAACGGTGTTGATTTCCGCAATCTATATCAAACTGCCCGGGATGCGAGAAGGACATTACCCTTTAATTACAGACTACTCAGCAACTGACTACTTAGTGAATGATAGCCTATTCTACTGGAACAGACATGCTGAGAGCCCCGTGTAGGCCTAAGCCCACGGCATATTGGCGACGAAATGCCAAATTGATAATATTCTTGAGGTTAAACTTTACAGGACGAGGTGCAGGGCTCAAGATTGCATGATCAGGACTAACATTTCACAAATAAAAGGCATAAACAACGAAATTTGTCCAAAAGGCGGTACTATAGCTTCTGCGCAATAAAGCAAAACTGCGGGGCATCATCGGAGTCCACCTCCGGAGGTGGCACGAAAATCTCCATCCTCTCATCTACAATCTCAAACCCATTTTGAGCCAAGATATTCCTCCAACCAGCTCGAGAAAATAAGGTGTTCAGCCCTTCCTTTCCCATGAACTTCCTTGTGACAGTTACAGCATGTCCATCGGCATCGAGGCTGCGGACAATCTTGGCTGGATCATAGTCATCGGCCGCCAGGACTACCATGCAAAGGAGACCATTACTCTGCAGCCAAGTTCCCCAATTCTGTATTATGCCTTCGATATCCTCTCGGTATTTGCCAAACAAGGCGCGGATATTGAAGATGGCATCAAGGGGCTGTTCGGTTGGGTGTCGGTAGGTGCGCATGTCGGCTACATCAAAGGTTCCCAAGGGCACATTCTCCTTGCTCATGGCAATCATGCTTGGCGAGATGTCGATGCCCTTCACCTTGTGCCCTGCGTCGCTCAGGGCCATTGAAACGGGATTTCCTGTACCGCAACCGGAATCCAGGATGTTGGCTTTGGGGGGCAGGTATTCCAGGGCTCGGTTGATGAACTTCAGGACGACGGGGTCCTTCGCGTAGGCATCCTGGTAGGAATGAACGATTGACTCATATCGATCAGGTCTCGTCATTTTTGAGAGTATGAGGGACCTGGGTGACGATAATGGATTTACTTTGGTTATTGGCTGAGTGGGAGGTTGGGTGAGGTATAGAGCGAGCAGAAATACTGAGATCGGAAAAGACGGCAAGCAATTGTTAAATAGAAAGGATGTGAGAGGATTTGGCATTCCCTGCAGAAATACATTACCATCTGTCGTGTTTTTGTTCAGTACGAAGAACTCTGTTAATGTAGATCTCACTGATCTATCCCAACTAATATTATTCATGTTTCATGACAACAGAGTATTGTATTTCTATAGTATAAAAAATGAGAATCGATACTAGAACTACACGAGGGCTGTTAAATACTATGTGAGTTAAGGTAGTATACATACACTCCAACGAGTTCTTGTTATTAGTAATATCAACTAGCATTAGCCACTCGACAGCGATAACACTACCTACCGTCTCTAGCCTTTATATATAGGGCCGAAAGTGACATCTATATTACATATACCTAGGTTACTTATCAAGTTGTAGGCCAAGAGAAAATATAGTTAGAAGAGAAAGAGATAGTAATACCGTATTGGATATTGGATGGAGGAATGCAACATTAATGACTACATAAGCCAAACGGCGGTGTGAAATTTTCAGTTTTATATCGACAAGGATAGTCGTAGTGGCCTTTTTGGTGGTCATTTGTTCAGATATTTCACCGCTTATTCCAAGGTTGATGTTGCAGCTAGAGTATAGACTGCAAAAAGCATAATTTGTGCAAGAGACCTTTGATGAATTGTCTAGTTGTGTGTTTTAGAGAGTCTGTATGGCTGCAGCTTCCAGACTACGCTTCGCAAGATCAGTTCTAGGGCTATCACGACCTCGTACAACGCGGTTAACGTTCTCCTGCTAAAGGCTTAGTAGTGATCACCAGTACATTAAAAGAACACAGTTATGATGATGACATGTATCAGAGTAAAGGACTCGTTGGTAGTGAAGTCTCTATTCTATAGGCTTTCTTTCGGCTAAAATATTCCTTTGATCCTGTAGAAATTGCAAAGTCGCACTGGCTTCCTTCCCTTTCTCCAGAAGGTACTTTGAATAACCGGCACAAATGTGATCTCGGCACAGAAATACACAAGTTATCCTTACAAAGGAGGTGTGCACCTTTTTGGCCTAGTGGTAAAATTGGGGTGTAAATAACTACATGTGATACACCAAGCAAACAACAACCCCGCCACGCTCCAAGGCACCTCCTCGTTCGGAGACGGTTAGAAAATCATCTGCGTAGTAGTCTGCAGTTTTATTGCGCCTTTCGCTGAAGTTATCGGTGTATGTCTGCCCAGGCATTGTATGATCCTAAGACCGAGGAAGAGTACCTTTTCAGCCTCTAATATACAATCCCCTTCCTCAGGCCTTAGGTGATGATTCAGATGAAACGTTCAATAGCGATATAGATGGCTTGTGAGCTAATATTTCGACAACGGTTGATGCCGACTGGCGTTAGTCTTCCAGTATATTCGAGATTTTCAAAACAAGTTCAAAGTCGGTTTCCACCAGAGCAGAGCCTTCTTCAGACTGGGAAAGAGGCTTTTCAGCAGGGCTACGCCATGCATCGCCAAGGTTCCTGACAGCTTTTATGCATCGTTGAGAGTGCAGAGTGCAAAATACCGCTAGAGGCTTGAGAAGGCCTGAAGCCATGGCCGCGAGAGAGTGTGTCACAAGATAGAACGAGATATCAAGTGGGAAAAAACCGACGATGCAGAGGAGGGAGTTGTGTGATAGAACGTAGTATGGAAGTGGGAGATGGTCGAGTTGTAAGACGCTTCGCAGAAGAAGTTGGACTACCCCCAGGGCCGCCCGGGGTATTATAGCCCTGTTGTTTCATTTACACCTAGGGCCACGACTAAAGCGCTTTCACGATCCCATTTCGATTATATTTCGATGAATTAATTCTTTACTCACTAAACCTTAACGCTAGCGCGGTATCTAGTTGGCCAGAAACAATAGGTAGAGACACCGCGATCTTGTGAAGTAATACCACGCCAAACTGTGTTTATTCCTTCGATATTTCATGTAAATTGGCTTTTATTAATTGTAGCTTAGCGCTACAGGCTCCTGTGCGTGGTTGTATATAGTCCCTCTTACATCTGTCCATCTCTATATCGGAGCACACCCGTAATTCAAACCCCAAGCGGGCTAACGAGGCACATTACTCCTCCTCGTCATCCGGCCCCCTTGCTTTCCTTGACGATCTTCTACTCGAGAGCAAAGGCACCCATGACGGTGCTAATGATAAACACCTAGTGCAGCGCTGCATTATACTCGACGAGGACGGCACGTAAATCCTTAGCTGGGACGATGCGGCGTAGGCCGGTGGCACCGGTGTTGACGATAGTTTTCGTCGATGACACGGGTCAGACCGGCGATGAACTTCTGGCCGGAGACGTTCTCGCCGACGGAGACGAAGATGGCCCCGCCGAGTTGCTGGTAGAAGAAGACGAGGGAGACGCAGACGGGGATGTCTTGGGGCTTGAGGATGGTCTAGACAGTGATGGCGGCTTGCTGTATGCCTAAGTCGATGCTGAAGCCTAGGATGATCTGGCAGCCGATCTATATACCGGCGCTCGTGTCGACGCGCTTGATAGAGATTAGTCCGGCGCCGAGGGGAATCAGGCACGAGGAGGCCATGGTAAAGGGATGGGGTGTAGTAGCCTAGCTTCCCGATTAGCTGGCCGGACAGGGTTTTGCTGGCAACTATTGAGAGGACCAGCGGTAGGGTGCCAATGCCGAACAGTACAAGTAGTAGGATGATGCACCAGTTGCCCCAAGCGTAAGTGCTGCCGCGCCATTATCGCGGACGTGGGCTTCAGTGCTAGGAGTATAACAAGTATGGCGGTGCCGCCGATGCTCTTTTCTCCCCTACATTGGGACGGGCGTGGACTTTTTCGAGGGCTCCGCGATCTTTTTCCCGGTCCACCTATACTGGTGAATATTGCACCTCCCCAATTGCGTTGCAAGGGGTTGGCTGAAGATAGCAGACCCTGCCCAACATCATCAGTAAGACTAGCTCCTCTCCATTGTCCATTTACCCGGCGATATGATACAAGGTACATATAGATCCTTTGGCTGCTCTTCTAATACAATTACCCTGAATATAACCCACTGCAATTAAGAATAAACAAACATCTCTGCCAAGGAGGAGGTTCCCAAGTTCCAAGGTTCTCCCCGGGGCCCAGCTGACGGGTCTACTCGAGCCTAATCTGATTTGCAGGGTTGCATTTTCTTAGTGCCTTAGGCAATGAACGTATAACAAGTAAAAGGGTTGACTAGCAAGTATTCAGTGCTTCGTGCTTCTATCAAGAGCAGCTTATGCTAGGAGCATTGGCTGAGAACATGGACTTGTTTGAAGTCGGTTGAGGTAAGCACACTCAAAAGGACGCTAAACACCCGTATCGGTTGTAGGGAAGAGCAAAACATCTCGTGTAACCGCTGAAAGAACCGAGAAGTTATGCTAATGCTCTTTCCATAAGTGTAATGGATTTGCTTTCTTTCCAAATTAGTCCCCTTACTTAAGGGGAGCGTCCGTTTTGAAGTTTGTCTGTTTCTTCTCGAGTGAGCAGCCTTCAAGGTTCGCGAAAGCCTTCGTTATTTTCATAATGCTTTGGTTCGCATAATCTAGACAAAGATGTCAGCAACTTAAATGCCACACATGAAGAATAAACACGAACAGCAACCAACAAGCATCCAGATGAAATTGAAGAAGAAGTAATAGAACCAAAAGTAATATCTTTCTGGTCGACAGTACGAGACTTCAAGCAAACTCGTTGCATAGTAAAGGACATCGCCATATACCTGACCCACGGAAACCACAAGCTGCAGAGCATAACGTGCCGGATGCTGTACTGCAATACAATATGCAATACAGAAGGCAAGAGGGCCCCAACCGAACTAACAAAGTAGTTAGTAACAGGTAAATTCAATACTCGGACTAGAGATATGCGAGCCTACTGCAGTAATAAACTCCATAGAAACTAGGAACGCATCGGATGTCATATAACGAGAATCGGAAAGAGAATATTCCTTCCATAGCTGGCCGAATAGTTCTTGGGAGCTTGCAAGTGTTTTATGATTTACAACAAAGTATGCCTCGAAAAATAAGTGAATAAATCCCGCTTTTTTTTTGTATATCAGTGACCTTATGCTCAAAAGTTCGCATCTGGCCAAGGAGAATGTAGAACTTACTCAGGCACATCCAAACGAAAGCAAGCTTGTCTGACGGACTGGCAGTCGGTCGCACGCGACATATGATGAACAAGGCTGTTCCCAGTACGGCTGCCCATAGACAGCCGAATTGAGTAATTATCGAAACTGCAGGGCTTTCATTCTCCACATATTGGGGTAGATATATGGTAGGTGGATAGTAGTTGTGAGAAACCGAGGTTGCGGTATTGGTGAACTGAACTGGATCCGCCATTGGATTTTGGATTGTGTGGGTTTTCCTCCTGTAACAAGAATTATACAATAATGAAGGATAGCTGACGGTCATTAAGTGGTATTTATATTGATCCAAGAAAGTCCCGGGGCCCGCGGACCCCGGGACCTTCGCGGATACTTGTAGAGCCGTGTCGACCCACTAACAGAGTAGTTATTTTGAAGATATTGCTATTCAGACATTAAACCCGTGGACCTTAGTGCTGAGCCCTCGCATCTGCCTTTTCTTCTGTCTTGAAGTTGCACATAGGTGCGTGAGTGGGCGCTGGCGAAGGATTAATCTTGCCTACCTGCGCACGTGCTGAGCGTAGGCGCGCCTCACAGCGGCCAAAGCTCTTGATGCGGTCTAGAGAATGCCAATAAGTGAATGGCTCTAGCCAGAAGTCCATTAAATTTAGTCAGACCAAATTCAAAGCGTGTACTATAAGGCTTGCCAGTGGGCTAGGCCAGGGTGCCTGCAAGTAAACCGTGCTCTATCTGATGAGGACCGTTGGTCCAGTTGGTTCCTTCGCTACTTCTGAAATCCCCCTAAGTTGTATGAATTTATGACTTGTCCGTTTTACTTACTTTCATTTAAATCTTGCTTTCTCTCCACTGACCTCGTTATGGCGACAACTAATGCGACATCCAGCCATTGGCCATCTATGAGAACGGAACCCACCTTTACACAGCTAACTAACCATATAATATATTGAGTCTATCAGGAGTCTCTAGTTATATTACATCTGTCTGGTAACGTCAAATTTAGGGGTTGTCATCTAAGCAAGGGTGTAACTTGAAGGTCCCATATTAACTCCATTGGTGATGGTACTGGGGCTAGTAATTCTCATTTTCTTGGAAGGTTAAGTGGCAACCCAATATACATATCAAATTAAGTAGTCAAAGGCTTTCCCCATCGGCTTGTATATTGTGATTTATTGAGTCATGGATGGTTGTGTTTGTATACGATTGAATACTTTTATACTTTCAATATCTGCTTCACCCTTAAGATTTATGAGTAGCGGACTTGTATTCGCTCAGATAGAGTCCCCCCTATGTATGTGCTTCCTACTAAACCTTAGGTTGCAAGCCTTCTTTCAACCCCCCAGGATATGATCTGCGACATTCTTCTAGTCGCGCATTTTCAGCGATATGCCATTCGATCTGCTTTCACGTAACATCGTACTAAATGGGACCATTTCTCTATAATATTAAGTTGCCTTACCGATTCTACGAATCTGAAAACCCCCTAGTTATCAGCTTGTATTGTTGCCCGAGATACTATACAACAATGTATTTTACTGTCTGAGGATTTTGACGATCAATATATCGAAATTCTTTTACGTGCCGCGGAAACAAAGGTCAATGGCATCTGTGATTTTGATGAGCCATTGGATGAAGCATGTGTGAGAGTCTGTCTGAATGAACTGAAAGAGGAAATTATCCCCGGCTCGTCCTTTGTCAAGTATAAATTCTTCAACGCGCAATACTACCGCGGACAAGTCCCACATCATAGAATCGTTCCAGTCTCAACTAATCGACTCCATCTCCCATGAGACACCATTAGACCGTTTGAAATCGCGAGGCAGTGCACCGGTATCTCGGCCTTCGGCTTAGTATTTTACTTCCAAGATGTTGACAAACAACTACATGTTCTAGTGGGAGGTGAGGACGTAGCTTTTGTCGTTCTCCCGCTTGACCGACCGGATCCTCCTGAGCCATCCCCGGCGAAATGTGTTTCCTCTAGCAAAGAAGCAATACACACTGGAACTGGTGATGACAGAGCATATGACGAAAATTGGATGCGATGGTCGAGTGGTTCGCTGCTGTTCCTGGCGACGATAACTAAATCGCGGCATATCTCTTCGCTTTAGTATCCTACGGAATCACAAGGTTTGGAATCCCGACAAAAAAACATGAGAATGATATATGACAATCTTGGTATAATAGTGAATTCATTTGGTAAATCTAAGTCTGTAAAAAAGATAAGGTATCATCTGGACAGTTGGTGGCTTATGGTCGGTGTTTCAAGTGGAATTATAAGACATGAGTCAACGGCCCGGGTGGGGCAGTGGTAGCGCGTGAGACTTCTAGCACATCTGTTGAATTCATACAACATAGGAGTGTACCTCAAGAGTAACCCTTGCGTCAGGTCGTGACATTGGGCCGACGATTCGTGGCCTAGGCAGAATCGTTCATTCAGGCTCTAGAGGACAAGGGTCGACGCTAACATGCGGCTTCTGCGTGTTATCGTGACGATTACGAAAGTGATATCATGGATATTGCCCCAGTTTTCTGGGGTTTCAGAGGATTTTACATATTGAATATTTCCCAATCGAGAAGTCACGGGACCCTTACTTTGCCCCCAAGTTGAGTCTCAACAATAATCTCCAACTTCTCGGCCGATCCGAAAGAAAAGGGGAAAAAAAGAGAGAGGGAAAAGAGAGAGAGAAAAAAGGGGCTTTGAAGCTTGGATGCTTGTATAATATAGCTATCAATGATGTATTCGTAGAAACTAATAAGCCGGTCTCGTTAAAGTTATAGATATTGTCGGAGAATTCAACGTATTATTAAACATAACATAAATTCGGAAAAAGAAAAAAGAAAAGGAAAAGCTGAAGAATAATATACTATACCTTACACCCCACTGGCAGTGTCACCGGGGAGATATTAGCCCGCGTACGGAAACATCACGATGATCACATTCTAGGCCCACTTGCCCCTCTTTTCGCCCTTCCGAAATAAAAAGGGTAGTTATAACGTGGTGGTACTTGAGATAAACTCGTACATAGACTATGTATAAAGGACGCACTCGTACCAAGCTCGGAAATTCTGCCGGGATTAATATAAAGATCAGCTTACCTACATGTAGGTACGTCGGCCTTAACCCGAGACCCGAGAGGGCCTACACCGTTCAGAACGTCTATGCTTCCGCGCCAAGCCCTCTCGGATGGAGCTAATATGTACCACGAAGACAAGGACTTTCTAGGTTGTATTAAAAAAAATCATTTGAATCCAAAAAAAAAGGAGGGGACAATATAGGTACGAATGTGACTATATGTACCATGTACATATGTGACGTCCTTAAGGACTATATAATTAAACATAATTAAACATAATTAAACATAATTAAACATAATTACATGATTAAAACGAAACTCCAATGCCTCCAAGTGTACGGTCAATAACAAAGTGACAATACAATGCATACCATGACATGACAAAAAGTGGCTCACGTAGCGTTGACCCCGCATCAAGAAAGTCAACGAAAACCAAAGACGAATTTGTTCCAAGTATAGTAAGGTACCAAGTGTATATATAAAAACCTTGGAGATCCCCCCTCCGCTTTGTCTTTCTTGCATCTATTTGTGATACCCTTTCTGTGAAACTATGTCGCTCTCCACTACCATTAAGACCCCCAATGTCACTTATGAACAGCCCCTTGGCTTGTACGCTTTTACCCCCCCCCCTCATATCAATAACCCCGCTCCCTCCAATTACTAATTGGTTCCTCGTTTTAGGTTCATTAACAACGAATTCATCAAGGGTGTTGACGGCAAGACCTTCGAGACCCTGAACCCCACCACCGAGAAACCCATCACCTCCGTCCACGAGGCTTCCGAGAAGGATGTCGACATCGCTGTCAAGGCCGCCCGCGAGGCCTTTGAGGGTCCCTGGAAGAAGGTGACCCCCTCGGACCGTGGCCGTATGCTTACCAAGCTGGCCGACCTCTTCGAGCGTGATATGGAGACCCTGGCTTCCATCGAGGCTCTCGATAACGGTAAGGCCGTCACCATGGCCAAGGTCGATATTGCCAATGCTGCTGGCTGCCTGCGCTACTACGGTGGCTGGGCCGATAAGATCACTGGCCAGACCATTGACACCAACTCCGAGACCCTCTCCTATACCCGCCACGAGCCCGTTGGTGTCTGTGGTCAGATCATCCCCTGGAACTTCCCCATTCTCATGTGGGCCTGGAAGATTGGCCCCGCTGTCGCTGCCGGTAACACCGTAATCATTAAGACCGCTGAGCAGACCCCTCTGTCTGGTCTGTACGCCTCTAAGCTCATTGTTGAGGCTGGCTTCCCTCCCGGTGTCATCAACGTTATCTCCGGCTTCGGTCGTGTTGCTGGTGCCGCCATCTCTAGCCACATGGACATTGATAAGGTCGCCTTCACCGGTTCCACCCTTGTCGGCCGTATGATCCTGCAGGCCGCCGCTAAGTCTAACCTGAAGAAGGTTACTCTCGAGCTGGGTGGCAAGTCCCCCAACATCGTCTTCGAGGACGCCGATATTGACAACGCTATCTCATGGGCTAACTTCGGTATCTTCTTCAACCACGGCCAGTGTTGCTGCGCCGGTTCTCGCCTGCTGGTCCAGGAGAGCATCCACGACAAGTTTGTCGCTCGCTTCAAGGAGCGTGCCGCACAGAACAAGCTCGGCAACCCCTTCGAGGGTGACACCTTCCAGGGTCCTCAGGTTTCCCAGCTCCAGTTCGACCGCATCATGGAGTACATCAACCACGGCAAGAACGAGGGTGCCACTGTCGCCCTGGGTGGTGAGCGCCACGGCACCGAGGGCTACTTCATCCAGCCCACCGTTTTCACTGATGTCACTCCCGAAATGAAGATCGCCCAGGAGGAGATCTTCGGCCCCGTCATCGCCGTCACCAAGTTCAAGGATGAGGCTGATGCCATCCGCATTGGTAACAGCACCAACTACGGTATGTATTGTTTATATTCATCAAACCCTGACGTATCATTCTAACTGTATTCAGGTCTCGCTGCTGCCGTTCACACCAAGAACATCAACACCGCCATCCGCGTTTCTAACGCTCTCAAGGCTGGGTATGTTTCATCCGATCAAGTATTGCTGTAACAAAGCTAACTCTATTGTAGTACCGTGTGGATCAACAACTACAACATGATCTCTTACCAGGCTCCCTTCGGTGGCTTCAAGGAGTCCGGCATTGGCCGTGAGCTCGGTTCCTATGCTCTGGAGAACTACACCCAGGTCAAGACTGTGCACTACCGCCTGGGCGATGCCCTGTTCTAAAAAAAAAGAAAAAAATCACCAAAAGAGAGAAAACAATAAATTACTGGTAATTGGGTGATTCAATCCAATGAAATGATGATACATGATTTTCGTTTTGTATATAGTCCAAATTGAATAACTCTGGTTCCTATCAACGGCCTGTCTGATGCCTACATACATACATACATACATATGAGGTACCCCTTGGAGCATTATACATTAATTTGTGGGCAGACCTGCGGCGGTGTTCCCATGTTTCTATATATGCGACAGTCTACAAAACAGTAGGTATGTGTAGCTTGGTTAGTCTACATAATAATACTACCTTAAATTACTACAGATGCATATTTGCTTTATCATTCTAATATTGTCCTTAAATTGCATTCCCCCGTTCCACCGTAGACTGCTATCGCGGGGTCGGTACATCTCCCCCCGAGAATCTCGGTGGCTGCAACAATCGACTCCGGGCTAACCTCGGCAGGATTCTTGGCAGTATTATTCCGTCCATGTGGATTATTTATCAAGCTGGAGGATACCATCCAGTCAACCTTGGAGATACATTTGAAAATGATCGTTACAAGATACATCACAAGTTAGGATGGGGTGGCTTTTCCACAGTATGGCTTGCGAAAGACAGAGGGTCAGTTTGTCCCGCACCAAGTTTTCTCATTTCTAGCTAATCTCACGCTAGCCGAAATCAATAGGTCTCCTTGAAAATAATGACCGCAAATTCGTCGATATCGCGAGAGCTGCAAAATTTAAACTCTCTAGAGAGGCAATCTCGAAGAGGGCTTGCTTCGAACTATATTATTCAGCTGCTTAATACCCTCACTCACAAAGGGCCCAACGGGGTCTACCAATGTCTTATATTTGAATTACTTGGTCCTTTAGTTGATAAGATCCTCTCAGAATACCACGAGTGTCACGATAAGCTCCACCTAGAAACCGTACTCCGAATTTCTACGCAGCTTTTGAAAGCTATCAATTTCATTCATAGTGCCAGTATATACTATAGAGGTAAGGGCTTTTCCCCCTCTATAGTTATTCCCTAGGGTTAGCGCTATTTTACTCACTTTTTATTAGATATTAGTAGTCAGAACATTGCATTCAGTTGCACTTATCTATCCAAACAAACCGAAGAGCAGCTTTTTGATATTCTTAGATCCCCGGAAATTAAGCCGCTAAAACGGATTAATAGTACGCCTCTAGGGAATAAACTACCGGCCTAACTGATTAAGGTAGTAGAATAGACCGAGTAGATAGACGAGGATAACGAAGATATTCTGCTCCTTGATTTTAGAGAGAGTTTCTACCAAAGACAGGAACCTTAGAAGCTAGCCCAGTTAGGTTTATTAAGGGTACTAGAGACAATTTTCACCGACTACTTTGATTATTTGGCTTATACCAAGCGATACGTAATATACTTGGGTACTCGATCGAAGCTATTAGTCGGTAGACGTTACGGGAGTCTGATATAGGCTCCTATAAAAATATAAGCGACGAGGTAAGCCACTAATATTTGCTAGGTTTCCTCAATACTAAAAAATCTAAACGGCTAAGCTTATCAAAGCTTTCTAAGCTACTCGGGACAGCTTCCGAGAGTAACTCTTTTACGACCACTATTCGACGACTCGAAGGCGCAAACCGGGGACTTACTACTAAGGTTGAACGCGGCCAGATATATACAGAGGAATTACTTGAGGTAAGGCGACAGTGTGAGGCAAAGTGTCGCGGGATTTATAAGGAACTCGATAATAGCAAGTCCTTAGTAAAGCAACTAGAGAAAGACCTAAATCGTGCGTATATAGGGATTGCAGAAGCTATAAAGACATTGAAGAACAACCAGCTTCTAGAAAAGAAAGAATCATGCGTACAAGAGGATATTTAAATTTTAACATAGCGCTCCATCAAGTTGCTTAGAGAGCTATTGCCTCTCTCCTGGCAGTCGGTACTCCAGGTTCATGCTCCTGAGCCCTGGTTTGCAATTATGCTGGTGAGCTACAGTCTTTAATTTTTTTAAATGTAAACGGTGGACCTGTGAATTATTACATCAGGTTAGTTATGCCTTTCTAACCTCCCCAAATCCGGTATCCACCAGTAGTCCTATATATAACGTTTTAACAGTCGATAGGTAGATCACCTGCTAGGAAATCTAGTACGGAACTCATCCCAACTAGTATCCGAATGGACCATTGGGGTGATTGGTATTGAGATGTGTCTCTTCTGACTACCCGATCGAACAGAATATTGTGGCCTTTGTGCTATTATTCAGCCGTTGATACCATGAGGATCAGACATGACGTGGATGCGGAATAAAGGTCCGCAGGCTAGTAAGAATCCACATCGTTTATCCGACACATAGCAACCGCCGAGTATCGGTCGTACGGACTGACAGTCCCGTACGAACCGCCACGTCCACCCGTAAGGGTAAGGAGACTACTTTCAACAGCAGTCTCCTGAGGATCTTCAATCAATCAATCATTTCAATCCACATTATATTGATTCCGCTCGACCACTCTTCTCAGCATATTAGGCTATACGAATATAGCCTGTAGACAATTGTTTTATGACTTTATAAATCAGATTTTGCATTCTTGTCGGATTGTAGGATACTGGTATGTGCTAGTATTGAGTTGTCCCATTGGGATTCATTGATGTGTTCTAGCTGGATCTCGCTGTTGAAGGGTTATCAGATTTCGGGAGTCGTTAGCCTGTTACGATGCTCGTATGCTAAGCATACTCCGTTTACTATACAGAAACAAAGAGTAAATGGGTGTTACGCACTGCTAACTGGTCACAGTTAGGTTAGATGGTTCCGGGTATACTTGCCTTAATACTCAGTTATCCAACGTCCACGATCTGTTCTCTCAACCGTACAGTTGCCTAACAGGCCTTACTGCAGGATAGATCCTTTCGAGGTATCGAGGAACGATGCCAGGTAGAGCGCCGAATAGATCTATACCGAAGTATTGGTCTGCTCGTGAGTGTTGTCAAGTTATCATCAAGTTAAAGAGTCACAGTAATCCAAAAGGTAAACACAAGTAACAATGTACGAATTGAAGACGAAGAACTAAACTAAGTACTTGAGGGAGTGTCCTTATACATCCTTCATTTCCTACTCCACAAGTGACTCCCCTGGAGTCACTTGTGGGAGTCACGGTCACGCGTTTCCGTAGTACCCGAGTGGGTAATTGTCAGTGTAGGTGTTACTAGTACTGGTTTGTAACTTTACGGTACAGTGTATGCGGCATTGGGGGCCGCCCGCATGCCCAAGTGGACACTAATCTAATTACATGACATATAAGACAAAAAATTAAAGAACCAGAACTTGAAAAGTGAGAGAAAAAAGCCTAATGCACTTCAAGTACCAATCTTGCTGTCGGCCTAGCCTATAAAATCACGCTCCGCCTTTTCCCCTCCTCAAGTGTCTTACAGACCCCTTCCGTAAATCGTCAGCCTGACGCCCCTGTGCTATTTATCCTCATGGCAGCTTCTCAGGTGGCAGGGCAAAGCTCTGTCATTTCCTCCACGGACCTCCCAGTCCACGCGGGCAAGCAACAACCCGCTGAATACGACCTCGACCAATGTATCGCGGCAATAAAGGGCGAAAAAGTCCCGTCCGATGCGACCTCTTTTTGGCATCGTAGAGCAGTCATCCGCGGGATCCGTGATTCATATCAATTTGCAACAAGCCCGACAATAATTGAGCTATGCTCCGGCGACGATGCCCAATCTCATCAGTTTTCTCGCGCTCGCAATGCTCGCCTGATCATGAGTAACGTCATCCCCGATATGCAAGCTCCTGCCACCGAGCCATACTGCATTTGGTATCCAGAGCCTGCATCGGAAGAAACCTACCGCGAGCTCGCCCGTCGATATCCATCTATGCGCTATCAAGTCGGCCGCGCATGTGCTGCTGCTTTGTATACGGATCTTTACAAAGAATTGGATCTTCTGCCAGATGTCTCTATTGCTGAAGAAGCCCGCAATGCTGATAAAGACGCCGAGATTTATAAAATCATCACGTCGGCCCCTCAAAGATGGGCTGTTATGGATGACTTCACTCGATCTGTTAATCTTAACAGCCCACAGACGCCCGCGTTTCTAAATGGCAATATGAAGCCCCGATGTGCCTTGGGCCAGCGTGTTCTTCCTCCCGAAAACTTGCCAGATACGACTGCCGATGATATTGACATTGAGGAAGATGGATTTATTGGGTTGGAAGAAAATATTAGCAAAGCACAACGCGACGCTAAACTCGGCCCAGGAGAATCTGAGTATCTATGGATGCCCCTTCCGCCTGATCTTCCAATTATTGATAAGCGCCTTCTAACGCAAATGGCTGTATGGGAGGGTAATGTGGATAGATACGCTCGATTGATGCATCCACGTAGGCTCAGAACGCAAACTGAATACAATTGTATTCTTCGTGGGATCTATCACCATACAGGCTTTGCTAGATGGTGGGCCTATCAGCTGGAAACCAACCCTGGGCGAATCATCTCCCCAGGAAAATTGCTTAGTGAAAGCAATAAGCGCGAGTGTCAAGAGATTCGCACCGCGATAAATGCTCGCAAAATCATGAATAACGATATCTCTGATATTGAAGATGACTCTAACTGCCTGCCTTGGCTTATCTGGTGGCCGGTACGGCCTCATGAGAACACTTTGCGTGAGCTAGCTAGCAAGTGCCCTTCTATGAGACAGCAAATTGCGATCACCTCCATACTTTGTGACTACCAATCGCTTTTCATGGCGTTGAATCCCCCTCCACGTGAATCCTATTTCGAGGCTGCCAAACAGAGCCGAAACCCTTACTACCTCCGATATCTAGAGGAGTTTGTTAGGGAGCGTTCAATTGGAAGTAGAAAAATCTTTGAGTTCAACCCTTATAATACCACCAAGAAAACAAGTTTGGAGCCTGATTTGGAGCCTAGGGATTTTCTGACCCATTCGTCTATCAAATTTTCTGATATGACTGTTCCTTGGGGGCAGCATCCTAGAGGCGAATGGGACTCCCCCGGTATCTATGGTGGTCTGCCGGTCGACCCGGGAATTGTGGAGAGATATATGTGGCTGTCAACTGAGACTGCGCAGAAGATTCAAGATGAGTATAGGGCATACAGTGGAATTTACGGCGATAGCGCGGATACTGGCTACTTGTATATTGATGATGATGATCCGGATAATGAGCTTTGGCTGAAGCTCTCACGTCCTCTCCGGCCTATGACATCCTTTGACATGAAAACCTCGGATGTAAGCTAATTGTTTTGAATCAATTGATTTTCTCAAACATGTGTTTATATTAACCATTTGCCGGCCTATCATACCTCTTTGAATTACATCTTCGTGGAAAAATATCGTTTGGAAAGTCTCTGACCATCGTATTGGACCGCTACGGTGAGTCTCCTTTGGGTTTAGTGTGGGAAAAATACAGCCTATTTTATCACTAGACCATAACAAAAACCTCGGTTCTTGCTTAGGGCCTAGGGGGGGCCATATCCCAGTGTGACATTTAGTTATAGCCATTCTGGTTTAGCGTCAAGTGTCCGTGTACCTCGCCGTGCGTGGTTGTATATAACCCCCTGTTCCCCCGCCCCTGCTCGAACGTTCAATCTTTCTTCTCGCCCCCTTCTCCCTTGGCCTTGTAGGTGAGGCATTTTTGCTATTGATCCGGATCACCGAGCTCATGAGCTCCGCCACCCCCTTTTTCGTGGACAACTCATCTGCGTCGGCAATTTGCGACGACCAAAGGTTCTCGCAATGAGACGGCCAATTTTTACCTAGTGTTCCAACACCCGGCAGCCTTTCCGCCTCGGACTTCGATTGGTCGGGCTGCAGTTTTTTGCGCATGCTGACGCAGTCGCTTGGGGGATTCTTTCAGGAAAATCTTCCCGAGCAGCGGGGCTACAAATCTGCCTCACCACTAACGCGAGAGAGTCTTATCAATGTTAGCAGTCGTAGTGAAGCGAATGATGATCGGAATCGGGTCACCCCGGCTCAATTGACTGATTAGTCTAGCCATAGGAAATTTCGAGCGTTCCCGCCGCCACGCCTTTTTTTCCCGGAGAATACATTCTCGCTACAATTCCTGATGGTTTCATAATCGATTGGTCGAGAGTAAAAGTTGATCTAGTGTCATAACATGATCTCCAGTTGGAGGAAGAGATGTCTTTCTACGGCGTTGGCACGACTGGTGACAAGAACTCAATCGGCTTTGGTGGTCATCATCAGATAATGACGTACTGTTGGTTGATTAAGCCTACTCCGTGTCCCAAACATACTCACGATGGCAGACAAGTCTTCTCTGAAAATTCCGTGGAGGCTTTAGCCGTCTAAGACAAGATGTCTACAACGATCCTTCGAGATGACATGGTCGTAGCGTTTGATTAGGAAGCCAACATCTTTACCATTTTTTATTCGCTTCGTTTTTTGTCTCATTGTAAATGGTATTGTTGAATCACATAGGTTTATGCGATTCTTGCTTCGGAATGAACGCAAACCCTCAATTTTCGAGAAAGTCTTTACATCATATCGATTCGAGGGGCGTTGAACCATCTTTGGACCCGCTTCTTTCTAATATCTCACTGAACTTCGGCGTCCCCTCACAAATCTGAATTTCGCGAGATAAAGGAATGATTTATCTCAGAATGGCCATCACTGTCCACAAAGATCCGTGCTTGGAAGATGCAATTGCATTGGGTGACTGGTGAAAGCGATCAACCCCAATCTGATGCACTTTAGGAAGCTGAATTTGTGGTAGTTTTCAGATAAGGTGTAATCTCCTCTATCGATGGCAGACCAAGCTTGAGTTTTTTCTATATTAGTTATGTCGGATAGTAGCTCTAAGCTTGGTCGATGAATGCCATTGGTCTTGCCCCGAAGCCGTAGAATTGAGTCGACTCTCGGAAAAAATCACAGAATATTTTTGTTTCCATCATAAGCGAATTTTCCAAGACTGTGTGGTATAACGGAAATCGAGCGCGAGGCATTTTGCTTAAACATACATGGAATCGGTCAAACCCGACATTGTACTGTATACCGAGTCCCAGCAGGCGCAATGACAATCGCTAGATACGCGAGAATGCTAAAAAGTGTATTACGAGTATCTAGACAGTTGGGAGGAAAGGAGTTTGAAAATGCGTATGGTGGCTCGGTATGCCTGTAATCTCAACACCTAAAGAGTTGTTCTTTCGCTGATATAGTTGAGTGGAAGTTGGACCAATTTCTTGATACACTCTGGGATACCGAGGGCCATGATATTCTACAAAGAGCTTTGCACCAGACACCTCAGCGGCAAGAGGATTATCAGAGCAAATACTATACCCTAGACGGAATATACACGGCGAATATTCGACGAATGCTTGAGCTGCAGGATGTTACACTCGAAAGGAGATTGAAAAATATTACAAGAATGGCGGAGAATATCGAGATTGCGCAAGGGCAGAAATTAGCTCGGCGAGCTAGACTCAAACAACAGAACGACAAAGCCGAACAAAGGAGAATCGAGAAAGCACAACGGAACTAGCAGTAAAGCGACCAGGCCGAAGAGAAGAGAGTCGAGAAAGTACAGCGAAACCAACAGGAAAAGTTCATTGTACTAAGTAGCCAGCTCGTCGACCTATAAAGCTGTGATGTGAGAGCTAAACCGCTAAAGCAATCCTGCTAAAGCGACTGGTCAAAAGCATGCTTTCCTGTATATCTAGACCTAGAATAGCCATAACTCTTCTGTCTCACGGATCAGCTTCAAGCAGAAATAGATAATCATCGCCACCTTAGGGGCTTGCCTGGGCTGGGCGGTTGAATTGGAAGATTGTCGGGGTACTTGACGTTCAATCTCTGTAAGAAAATTCATAAAATGTCTCTAGCCCGTGATATGATTGCGTGCAATTTGGAGGGCGTAGTTAGGAGAATATGGGGTGGATAGTTGAGCACGCCTGTCCACGTAGGGAGCTGATCCAGGTAAAACGCACCCCTTCCGCCCGCTACCCTATTGCAAGAAAGCGTTCATCCGCGATAACATCCGCGCTCAATGGAAGCAGGAACTGAAGTCATCAATCAAAGCCAAAGGGGCTCACTTACGGAATATTGATAGCAGTCAACCCAAGATCTAAATAAGAACGCTGTACGGGGCTCTACCGAGGCACCAGGCGTGCCTTTTCATCCCGCTCCGCACGGGCCACAATTGGTTGTTTACCTATGCACCTATACGTACCGGATTTTCCCTAGCGTGTGGGGCTTTCCTATTTGATCTGCCGCCGCTTTTATGAGGGTGCTCAGGCTCGGGCTCACTGAGTACAACAGATGTCAGCATGGAGTCAGATCAGTGATCATGCTCAGTTCAGTCACGTCAGAATCACTGATACCAGTGGACTTAGTGAGTGCTTAGTAAGTGCTCATTACGTCCATGGGTGCTCTTCCTGATTACTCAGTGATACTTAGTTACCTAGGTACCTAGGCTTCCGGTGAATAACTCCGCGAGTATAAGACGTAAGGAGATGTTAAAGGTATCGTCGTAAAGCCCAAATGACTCCCTATCCGGTGTTTATCCTTTTTAGTGAATTCTCATCGCTGGGTGTAGCATGTGATTACACTCATATGCAGGTTAGATAGTCGAGCGGCGCTCCGAATGACTAAGTTGAGACGTATAATGCTTGAGGCGACGGCTCCTAGGCTAAGGTGCATGTTCGAGTATAAAGTGCGAGCAGAAAGGGCGAAACCCAGCTGGAGCAACGCAAGCATATGCTACTTGACCTACCCACTTGGGCCTATGCGAGAGAGGTGAAGAGTTAGTAACAGACCTGGTACTAACAGACTCTGTCATATGACTGTGGTCTGAGATTCCTGGATAAGTTGCGCAGTGCGATAGACTGGTATTGTAGAGCTGTCTAGGGCAGAGCTGCTTTCCAATTTACTAGTACAGGTACCATAGTTCATCCAATTTTCCCGCACTGTGCTATGTGTCTGGTTTTCAATGATCTTTTTTTTTGGGAAATTCTTTTTGAAACTTTTTTTGTTTTTCCCTTTCCCTCTTTTTTTCCCTTTCCTATTTATTATTTATTATTTTCATGGTGGCCAATTGGAGGCTAGCGTGTTAGACTTATCAGCAGCCGTCACTCGAGAAAGAGGTAGTGGTACACGGTCACCGTGGCACATGTTTGAGCAGAAGACCAACAACACAAATTGATAGAACAGATTCGTAAGGGAGTTGTGGAATGACAAGGACTGGTTCAAAGAGAGATATGAGAAAAGTGAGAAAGGCGTACTTACCGGTCAGCCCTTAACAAGCGCTTATTTTCAGATACGGGTGGTGAATGCGTTTGTTAAATTTTGCGGCACGCTTGAGAATTGCCAGATAACTAGCAACATCGTCTTCTTCGAGCCTCTTTATAGCAGTGTGCACCATGCGGTTGACGGCCTCGAGTTTAAGGGTGAATTGTCGATCGGTATTTTGCTCTAATTTCTGGATATGCTGTTCCAGGTCACTGAGAGGCATCGAATGCAGATTGTCTGGGAGCTCCTCTGAGCCTTGATTTTGAGGTGTGATTCCTTGCGACCCAAGGATGCTGACATATTGAGCCATGTATTTGCTGATTTTCTTGACATCTTGCTCTGCCGCGATAATGCTGGACTGATCCTCCAGCAGAGCTGCGCCCAATGAATCCATATCTTGGATCTCCCCGCAGATATCGTACATCACCGTCCAGAATGAATCCAAAGCGCCATATTGACTCGAGAGGCTCACGAAGTGGTTGCCGATGTTTGTGAGGTCCGTCTGCGACTCCGTTAGGTTGGCAATCGCCCCTTCGTTTGCCGCGATCGCTTGTGATAGCTTCCCCAGCAAAGACCCGAAGACCCCTGTAGCTACAATTCCTCCTATAAGCATGGCTCCTCCCAAAGGGCCAAGCACAGGAGCGGCAGCAGGGAAGAGGAAGGCGGCTATGATCAAGCCGAGGCCCACAATAAAGGCAGCCACTGAACCCCAGAGAGCAGCCGTGAGCTTCTTCTGCTCTTGCTCTTCATCGTTAAGTGTCTGTTGCAGGGCTTGAATCTCATTGCCAATATCGAGCAGCGCCGCGTTGATATTCTCGTTGACCTGGCTCAATTTCTTTGTCATGTTCGTCACCTGGGTGTCTGCTGCGCCTAAAGTATTGGATAAGAGTAGGGCGATTCCCTGGCAATGACCGATTGCAAATTTACTAGCTTCGTCCTGAATCTTCTGTTGTTTCTGAGGATTGCCAGAAGCTTTCTGCCACCGTTTAGAGTATTTCATGAGTTTCTCCAGGTAGATACCGTGGCTGGTGCAGAATGCCTGGATATTCTCGATGCACGGGAAGAGGGCAGTTTGGGTATCAATATAGGAGGCTTTCAAATATGAAGTCAACGTGTTCAGGTCGAGAATGACACCAGGTGCTGCGGCCCCAAGGTTAGTCACGCCCCCCTCGGAGATCCACTGAGTCCACGCCTGAGTTGGGCCCGAATTTTCATCAGCTGGGGGGTTGACGATCAACTTCCAGAGGTTCCCATCTTGTCGCGCGGCAACAAGCCCGGTGTCCACAGCCGTGAGATCAAGTATGGCATTTACCATGGTGTTCTGGCTCTTGATGGTATAATTCACAAGGCTATTTCCCGTGCTGTCGACGTTGGGAGCAATCTCGTAGAGAATCATATCCGCATCGTATCCCCATATCGAACCGTTTGAGTACGCTGCCTTCAAGAGATTAGGAGAAGTGCCATTAGCTAATGGCAGCGAGCTGAACTGCATGTTTGCCCCCACCTCCTGGGAGCTGTAGCTCAATGAACCGTCAACGTTTAGCATGATAAGCCACGATTTTAGGGTTGTGTTGTCTGAGGATAGTATGCTGTAAGGGACAAGGCACTTTGCATTTTCGGCCGGCACGCAGCTACCCAAGTCCTCCCATCCGGGATTAAAGATTTCTGGCCAGTTGTTCACAGCCTGCGTCAAGTCCGGGTCTCCACTGTTTCTGGGAGTTTTCGCCCAGACATTGCTTCCGATAGTGACGAAGAAACTGCCTTTGTAGGAGAATAAAGACGTCGTCTCCCCAGGGGCAGGAGTTCCGGGCATATCGTCAAAAAAACTCCACTCTTCCTCAATACTGTTATCTGTGCCGAGCGTGGTTGCTACGTATTGCACCGTTGAATTCAAGATGCCCACAAGAGGCACCGATTCCAAAGTAGCCGAGAATTTGGAGAGATCCGGTAGGTTCTCGATGCTGTCGAAATTGGGAACTATGTTGCTGATGGACTTTTCCATCTCCTCTACAGTCAATTTAACTGTGGACAAATTTATTTCTGTATCGGCCTTAAATTGCTGGTTGACATCGAGTGGCTCAGCGGCTTGTGCTTTCTTTTTGGCGGCTCGTTTTTTTGCCTCAGTATCCAATTTCCTGGTTTTCTGGCAGGCTTCGTAGTCTTGGGTAGAGTGTTCAATCATCCTCAGGATGTTATGTCGAATACCAAGTCCGAATACATGGTAGAAACCAGGTAATATACCGGGAACATCATATGACATTGGGTACCAGGCATACCATACAAAAGTGCATATTACAGTTAGTCATCATGGTCCGCACAGATTGTTGAAATAGCGGGTTTTGTCATTTTAGTTAGTTAGAGTTGTCAACATTGGTCATTTATACCATACATTGTTCGTACACCAGCTTTCCGTCAGTTATGAGCCCGGAATCGTTCTATTGAACCCAGCTATCGTCGAATTGAGGTCAAAGTGACACTACATCGTCACCCCCGTCGCCGAAGCCAACCCCTAAACCAACCCCTGAATCAAGAATCGGAAGCCTATCTATAAAGGACAACGAACATCAAATGGCTGAATACCTCTCCGCGGGTACATCCTCTCGCGTTATACTAAAGGATACAACGATATAGGATACATAGCTAGCTAATATTGAATCGATTGTAGTGCAATTCGACGTATAGGAGCTATGTGATCCTAGCAATAATAAGAGACCAGAGCTACCAGTAGCACCTAAGAAAGTTATCTCAATTGCAGAAGCACAAACATAGTATAAAGACCATTAGGTCGATATATACAAGATGCTGCAAATAGAATAGGCCAATAACAACGTGGCCTATACCTAGCAGAAGAAAGGACTAAACGTAGTAGTGACAGCTATTCGGAATAGCGTCCACGCTAACTACCAACCGTTTATTATCGACTTTAAGACCCCGTATAACCTCCTCTATAACCTCCGACAACGGTTCGCCGCCGAGTGTAATCCAACAAATATAGCTAGGCTTCGTTAGCTTTAGCGTACCCTAGATCGAGGATTAGATCGGAATACCGATATCGATAAGTGGTTGTTAAACTAGGAGACTGTATAGGTAAGGTATAAGAGAGCGAAAATACCGGAAGTAGATGATACTCTAACTCAGTTCCTAGATACTATCTTAGTAATATCCCCTAGGTTTTATAAAACATAGACCCTAAGACTATAAGATAAAGTAGATAAGGTAACATTCACCGAGCTTCTTAACCGATATAGAGCTTACTAGAGAATCATCTATAGTAAGATAGCTACTAACTAGAGAGGCATTTCTAGAGCTATATTTTCGATATAGTAAGGTTATAAAGAAGCTAAGCCTAAAACCTAGCTCTATAATAGACCCTATCTATATAGCTAGAGCAATAGCCGGTATCTAGCTTAGAAATATTAGGACGTATTCGATAAGAATAAGCCGCCTTTATATATAAGAAACCAAGGTACCAAGGACAAATAGGAGAAAGCAATAAAAGCTAACCCCGCCTAGAAAGCCTAGGTTAATAAGAAACGTTAAAAGGTAAAAGTATAAGAGCAAGCAAATACCGCTTTTAAAAACCAAGGTTATAGCTTCTTCTCCTCCGAACCTAAGCCCTAAGCTAGTCTAGAAGCTAGTCTAGTAGCTAGCAAGATAGCACCTAGTACGGCATAGGTAACTATACTACCGGCTAGCAAGCATATTAACGTCTCTACTACCGTTATATCCACCTAAAACCAGACCCAAATCGACGATATACAGCCCGTACGAAAGCGCTAGGTAGTCGACACTAGAGCACAAATACATATATATAACGATCGAGAGTTATTCGTGACTTTCGAGGACGTATAGAGTAGCGTATAGGTAGGAGATATAGAGACGAAAATCGATAGGGTAGGCACTATAGTCATCTATAGTATTAGTCCTAATAGTAGAAAGGTAGTAAGGATAGAGTTATATAACGTCAGATACTCTCCTAATTTCTATACTAATCTAATATCCTATAGATTGATGATAAAAGGAGGTCTTATAATAAACTTCAGAAGGGACTATATTAAGTCTAAAGATAGACAACCGATTTTTAAAGTCTATTAGGACATAAAGCTGTCCTAGTTGACCCTACCTAAGGATCTTTAGTATCCTAAACTCGAACCTAAGGACTTAGTATTTACAACCAAGGCCAAGAAGTCAGCTTAAGAACCAAGAGCAGAAGCATCGATTTAAACCTAGTATAGACGCCTAGGCTATATCGGCTAGCAGCGTATTAAGAAGCTAGTAGAGATAACGGAAGGCATTACTATTAAAAGCAACCCTAGCAAGAACGAAAAGCAGGTATATAAAGCTTATCAATTAGTAGATACACCGAGACAGATCTCTCGCCGGAAGATAGGCTAAGTATATAGTATATTTAGAAGGGTCTATTTCGACCTAGTATAGAATCAGCCGGCCTATAATAGATATATCTAGTTAACCCATTTCTACCTAGATAGTATTAAATACCACTTTATATTCACCTATACCAAGAAAAATAACTACTAGATAGCTATTAGGAAGTTCCTAGTACTAGTTAAGAACTAGTTAAAACTAGAAATTAGAGTGGTCCACTATAACAACGAGCGGAGCGCTAGCAATAAGGTTAAATCAATAATAGAGGTAGAGGGATATACTATTAAGCATTCACTACCTAGCTTACTAGAAATAAATAGTCTAGCCGAGAGATCTAGGGGGATAGTAGTACGAACTACCAAAGCGTTAATTAACGATATAGAGCTACCCTATACTCTATAGCTAGAGGCAATATATATAGCGACATATATCCTAAACAGGACCCCTACTAAGGTCATTAAACCTAGTAAAACCAGTAGCCAATAGATCATACCTTAGAAGGAATTAATAAAATATACTATACCAGACAGGATCCAACACTAGATAATCAACCTATCAAATATAAGGTTATATAGGTACTTAACGTACTCGAGAATCATTAAAAGGACCTAGTTAGATAAGATAGCACCTAGAGTAGAGATAGGATATCTCATTAGGTATATCTCTAAGAACCTATACAAAGTATAGTTCCCCTATAAAGGACGTACTAGTATAGGGAGGGTAAACGTCGTTCGAGATACTATATTCGACGAGACGAGATAGTATTCGAAATCGAGACCCCTACCTAAGCAAGAAAATACAATTAGTACTATAATAGATAGACTAGGCATATAGCCAGCTATACTTACTATAGAAGAAGCGTAGGTTAAGCTTAGTATACAAATATAAATACCTAGATCGATAGCGAGGATAGCTCTAGATAATAAAACTAAGCTTACCGAGTAAGGCTAGATAGCTGCCGATATAGCTATCGATATACCTAATAATATAGCTGATATAGCTATCGATAAAACTGATATAGCTAATATAGCTATCGATATAGTTGATAAAATAGATAATAAAATAGCTAGCCAAGTAGCGAGAGAGATAGTTGCTAAAGAGAGAACTCCAGTATATATAGATATCAAGCTAGTAACTAGCTTGCCTACCCCACAGTCTATTACTAGACCAAGGGAGCAAACATTAATATAGATAGGACCGAGGGACTAAATAGGACCGAGGGAGCAAATAGATAACCTACCTAGTAGCTTTCTAACCTCCCTACCACCAAGATCATCATTAGCATCCTCCCTACCACCACTACCATCTAGAATAACATTAATATCTCTAAATCCATCGAATCCAGCACCCCAAGAAACCATCCCATCGTCGCTAGATCCGATTTCCGTAATACCGTCGATCGAAACTAGGGGGGAGGAGATAGATAAAGATACTAAGATAGAGCGTCAACTATAGCAAGAAATAGCGTACTCGCCGATACTAGAACTAGCACTAAGAGACATAGTAGGTAATATCGATATATCAAATGTCATCACCGGCACTAGATCTAGGAAACTAAGGTTAGATCTAGGTTATACTACATACCTATCTCTTAACGATACCAACCAGATAGAGCCACCAAGCTTACTATATACATTTACCACAGGCATAAACAAGCGGTTCGATACCAAGCCACATCGAGATAACCTACCACCGCCGCCAGAGACCTAGAATCAATTAAAGACCTATCGATTCGCCGAGTAGTTTAAAATAGCGGCTATATTCGAGGTCGAGATATTAAGGAAAAAGGAGACATTCTCCTAGATTCCAATTCCGAACGAGCGAGGTACACAGGTACTACCACTAAAGTAAGTATTCATATACAAATTCGATACTAATAGTATACTAGAGAAGTTCAAAGCGAGAATCTATATTCGTAGAGATCTTCAATAGTTATCTACAGAGGAAAAGAGAGCCGTAACACTAGCTATTAAGATAACAAGGGCTATCTTTACATTAGTAGCTATATTCGATCTAGATATAATACAGAGAGATATAGTCACTACATTTCTAAACTCAGTACTACAAAGTAAGGTATATACAAAGTACCCTCCAGGATTCGAAGCATTAAATCAATACTAGCTACTCCACAGAGCGCTATACGGATTACGCATATCACTAAGACTATAGCAGCAAGAAGCAACCAGGGTACTAGTAAAACTAGGCCTTACCCTAGTACCGGAAGATCCATACATCTTCATTACCACCGGTATCATCGTCTTCTTTTATATCGACGACATCATCATAGTGAATCATCCCGACTATGTAGAGTAAGCAGCTCAGCTAGATCGAGAGATTAAGAAGCAATAGGAATTACGTAAACTAGATACAAGCTAGTTCTTAAACATACGAATTCTCAGAGATAGGGAATAAAAGAAGCTTTAGTTATACCAGGATAGCTATATTAAAAGCATAGTAGCGAGGTATAATTTAATCACTGCAAGGAAAGTGGGATCTCCACTAGCTATCGATCAATTGATTCCGTACGATAGAGTAGCGTCACCGAGTCAGATTCATAGTTTCTAGGCTAAGGTAGGATCTACTTAGTATACCACTACCATCACCCGGCCAGATACTATAAAAGCTATAGCTAAATTAGCTAAGTTCCTTACCAACCCCGGTCCTAAGTATATTAATACTATTGACCGAGTCATATAATACCTATACGAGACTAGGTACTAGGCTATCGAGTATAGTTCTAGAGAGACAGATCGTTAAGATCAATATAACAAAAACCATAGTCTCTAGCTAGCTACAAAATCAATTGAATTTATAAGCGATACATCATTTAGAGACAATAAGGATAGGAAAAGCTCCGAGGGTTACATTTGCAAGCTATATAGGGGCCCTATAGATTAGAAAGCAACTAAGCAGAAGACGGTGACCACGTCGACTATAGAGGCAGAGCTCCTAGCTCTAGCCGAGGTAGGCAAAACTATATAGTAGTAGCGTCGAGTCCTCTCTGCATTAGGCTTCCAACCTAACCACCTACTATCCATTATATATAACAACTAGCAAACCGTCGATTTGTTAACAAAGGAAGGGGCGGCGATACATACGAAGCTCCGACATATTGATATTAATCGTTGCTAGATAAAACAGGAGGTTAGCGAGGGTCGAGTCAATATTAACTGGGTTCTAACTGCGGCTATGCCAGTAGATGGCCTTACGAAAGCGCTTCCGAGACAGAAGCAGCATCTCTTTAGGGAGCTGATTGGGATGAGAGAGATCAGTCATCTGATCCGAGAAACAGAGGCTGTTTGAAGAGAGTGCAGAAATAAAGGAATTGACAGCTCTTGAAGCTAGGAAAATGCAGGCTTTAAGAACTGGGGGGTGTGTCGAATACCAAGTCCGAATACATGGTAGAAACCAGGTAATATACCGGGAACATCATGTGACATTGGGTACCAGGCATACCATACAAAAGTGCATATTACAGTTAGTCATCATGGTCCGCACAGATTGTTGAAATAGCGGGTTTTGTCATTTTAGTTAGTTAGAGTTGTCAACATTGGTCATTTATACCATACATTGTTCGTACACCAGCTTTCCGTCATGTTGTTTATTGCCCCTTGAGCCTATGGTGTTGTGCGTTAGTGGATGTTGTGAAAGAAGTGACTGGAACTCTTAACATACGCGGGCTTTTGCGGCACTCGCTTCGTGCTGTTCCTCCACTGACAAAGACCGAACCCCAGACGAATAACTCTCCCGGGTCTTTCGTACATGATGGTTAAGATCCCTCAAGACGGAGGGGGCCTGAGCGAGAGAGGTCATTTTGAAAGATCCGCGGAGCTTTTGTACTTGTAGTTAAACGCCAATATAGATATTAATGGAGCGCGATCTCACGGCCACTTCTTCTTGTGTACAAAGAAGAACCAGGCTGTATTTATTTTTCTGAATATAAGCTTGGAAGGACCCTAAAAGTGAATAGAACGAGGGGCTTTTAAGAAAAACAATGAAACACGACTGGTCGGTTATTTCTGGAATCAAAAGGAAAAGATAGCAATTATGTGAAGGAATATAATGATAATAGTTTTGATGATTTCTCAATAATGATTGTTTTGATAACTTCTGTGCTGAGTGATCTTGTTTTTGTCACGCAAAAGGATATCTGAAGCCATGATTTTCCATTGTCTTATAGTGGAGGCTAGCCACGTAAGACGTCAGTCAACTGTCAAGTGTAGGGGCACTCCAATTCCTATACCGCATATGTAATGGTCACTAATACTTCATCGTTAACCCTCTTCCAAAGGAGTCAGTGTCCAGACAACTCTCAGGAGTAAATCGCCAGCCACTAATGTGCCCTTAAGCAGCCAAAAGGCTCCAAAACAGCTGCCACTGATATCGCGTACCGTACAGTAACTATAGCGTGTAGCTGGTTGCAGCTGCCTTAGAAGGACCCAGACCATTTCTCGGCCAATTTGATTACCTTAGTTCCTCTGGTCTCTAGGGTCGGAGAATCTTGTGGTGCTAGTTGCAGTGGCCTAGAAGGACCTAGATCACCCGACTTCACAAGATCTGTTTGTACCGTTAATACCATCTTAAGGTGATTGGATATCCACGCGCCTACATTGTTTCAGAAGCTTTTAGGTGTTGCATCATTGCCATAACTATAGCCGGTTGCGGACAATGAAGTAGTACGAAGCTGCATAGGCGCCATGATCAGGTTTATTTAACCAAAAACACGCTGATTATATAATGGCCCGCGATCAAGTTAGGGTACTCAGGAACGTGCTCGGTTTTAGTGATCAGAAAGCGGCAAGGGGGTGAGCACTAAAATGGAAAGGGAAAAGTCTCGAGTGCCAGGCATCATCCGGTATATATGGCCGCTAGTGCATCGGATTTGTTTGGCTGATATCTGATAGTAGTTCACTCAGTCGCACTACCGCTTGTTTGTGGCAAGCTGGCAACCGTCCGTTCATTTTCAGCCATCCCCGCGTCGCCAGATGTACCAGACGATGTATATTAAAAGCCAATCCGCCCTTATGTTCAGTAATAAATGAGAACGCGTTAAGGATACCGATCGCATCTTTCTGCTGATTAGATGATGACATCTCGGAAGGCTGTAGCAGCGACCGAGGAATGTCTTTGGGGTCCACACAGGCCATGAATCCTAGATATTCAATCGCAAGAGAACTGCGGCGACGGATCTGCTCAAATGAGATGAGCCATGTCTTTGTCACTGCATTCTCCATGCCTGGATATCTGCCGTAGTCTCCAAAATCTTCACTCAAGCGCGCAATCACCTCATCATCCTGCTTGGACAAGAGTTCTTCATACTCCGTGAGTGATCCCTGGGTATCATGGGTCGCATTGATATACGCTGCGGCCTGAACAATGGCTAGTGGAAGATAGGTGAGCTTCCGCAGCAAGCCTGGTAACAAGTGTTCTTCGTTTTCGATAGGATTAATCAAATAGTTCCGCATCATCTTTGAAGCTCCAGACTCGTCCATTTGCTGCACAGTCACTACATTCTCTTGAGCAACTCTCGTGGCCACCTTGCGGTCGCGTGTGGTCCATATGATCGCCCCAAGCCTGCTTCGGGGCATGTAATCAATCAGCCGCTTAGCTCCTACCTCAGATATGAGTGGAGATGTCCACAAATCTATATCATCGGCACTATCCAATACTAGCAGCCATGGGCCAATAGTCTCATCACTGGGGTATATTTGCACTAGTTCCAGGATATCAACACCAATCTCTTCACACCCAGAGAGGCGAAGGTTCTGAGCCACCTTATGATATGCTGTCTGTAGGTTGGTCAGGCTGTTGACTGGAATCCAATAGACCGCGCACTGTTCTCGCATGCGGTGGGCTAGCTCAAGCACTAGCTGGGTCTTGCCCACACCACCGAGGCCCTCGATTGCAATTTTTCTCGTGGTACCAGACTTGCGTTCCAGTTTCTGTATCAGGTCACTAAGCAGTTTCTCACGGCCGGTGAATTTAGCGTTTCGTTCAAATGTCACCTACCACCGAGCACGGCCCTGCCCTTAAGCTGTGTTAGTATTGGATTTCGGGATTAGGTATCCAGAATAACGGCATACATTGTTCCAGAAGTGCTAGTGTCTCTTGATACCGCTATATAAGGTTAGCCACATACATTCATTCTGGTTGCGGTATACTAACCCGAATCGCTTTAGTAAAATTAAGGTTGGTTGCACCTATATCCGTTATTATCCATTAGTCGAAAGATACCAGGACTATGAAAAATCTTCTAAATACACACTCTACTTTAATTTCAGATTCTCAACACAATCCCGCACTCGAAACCTCACTGCCTAGTGGTCGAGATACCCCTCTGTCGCTGACTCAATCGAGCCTTGATCCTGTTATTCCGCCAGCCTGACGTCCTGTAACCCCTGGTCCACATTGAATCGGAAATACCGCTTGATATCATAATGCTACCGCCATTTAGCGATGAATCGCTTCTCTGTATGCTCAGCTTGCGTGGCGAGTTCTGGCAGGGTTTTCGAAACAAACTTCAACAGATTGTCCTCCATTGCCTTCTTCCCGGGATTGCCGGTACCGATCGAGATGAAGCACTTCACTTGTGGCTTTAGGTCGCCTATGTCCTCACACCAAATACCAGACGCTTCGCCTTCCACCTCATCTATAGGGTTGTTGGCCCCGAGCCCTCCATCCGCGAATCTGCGTGCTTCGATCGACATCGGCTCGAAGCAGGTAGTGGCGGCGGAGGTTGCGCGGGCGGCCTAGCAGATGGTGGCCCGAATTCCGGCCTTGTTACCGTAGCTGCGAAGGCGCACAATATCCTTGGTCTCCTGCGTGATGCTGCAAACGAATCTAGAACTATTAGCAGGATACGGATGCATCGGCTCACATACACTTACACCCGGCAACTCCGGTCAGCTTGATCATTGAATAAATCGGTCGGCTTAGCTCCGCAGTTGTTGATGACTTCGTTGATTGCACCTTCGAGCTTGTTGGCATCGAATCGGGGCTTAATCTTGCCAAAAAGACTGGATAGGCCCCATTTCGAGGGCTCACCAAAAGTCCGTTTCATTAACTTGATATATGCCATGATGCACTCATCGACATCCATCTCCAATCGACCTAATATAATCGCAATCAATCTACATCTGTCAGCCACCCGACTTTAGAACACGGACTGAATCAACCCACCCGCCTGTACTGGTGCCGCCAATCAGGTCAAACACCTCGCAGGGCTTCTTTGCTGGTGAACCCTCGGGGCGTGCCTGATTCAGTCGGTCCATCAGCCCTTTCAGAATGTACAGAGTCGACAGCCCGCGCACACCGCCAGCATCCAGGGACAGCAGGCATAGTCCGGTAGTGTCAACTAGGTTCGGCTCGCCGCCGTGCTTGCGTGTAGTCTCTTGCTCTATGGTGGTTGCAGTATTCGGCGTTGTGCTCACTCACGGCATTGTTTCCTTATTCACGATTTAATGATACGTTGAGCAGCCGAGGCGTCAACAGTGAGACATGGTGATGTTACGATTGGATAGTTGCCTTGAAATAACTAGCCTGTCAATCTGTAGGGTCGGAGAAAGAAAGATACTGGAAGCGCTGATTGCTTGTATTGAGAGGGCAATTATATATCACCCATCGGTAATGTTTTTGAGATAACTTGGAATGTATGTTCTAGACTCATCTTTTGTATAGGAAGGTAAAATCTAGAACACGGAAGAACTCAAACAAATAGTGGATACAGGCCGGTGCGTCCTCATCATATGTTCGACCTTCCTCCCAATCACCGAACTGGAGTAATGGAAGACTATTCTTTTGCGAAGCAGTTTGTTGCGGAGAGGCGTAATCGATCGGAAATATGGGGTCGACGTTGGTGCAGCTTATGTCAGACAGGGAGGTCGGTGACCAACGGAAGTTGCCAGGTTGGTGCATATTGTGACATATCATCCCACGGGTCAAGCGCCATGCTTTGTGGAACACCGTAATCATCATGGTTAACGAAAGAACTGGGCCTCATTTTCCTAGGCCTACTGTAACGAGAGATTAAGGGTGAGTGGTTATTAGTTGAGGCTACGCGATCAGGAGCAGTTGTTCGCCTGCAAACAACCGACAACTGGCCAGGACGGTCGTTTGCCGATGATATCGCTCATGAGGTTCGCCCCAGCAGATCATCAAGTTAATTGGCGCCAGGTGGCCTTTCCCCACATGATTTGCAGAGATCCACCATAGATTCCACGGAATTTCACAAGCTTTATTTTCGTACGCAGTGTAATCTTACGCCGCACGGTAATGTATTACTATACACTCAATTTAATGCGGGCCGCTCCAATAAATGATCTGCGCTAAGGCCTTGGCGGTGGGGCCAGGAAAGAGTTTTTCACTGTATATTGGTCAGGGCGATTTCGAGAATGACTGTAATCGTGGCACCACCGACAATTTGATATTCGGCCATGGTTTACTAGTCACCTTCCTTTATGATTTACTATGTACAAAAACACAACAATATGACTACTTACACTGTAGTTAAGAACATGAATGGGAAGCCGAGGGCTTTTCACTATTGGAGGTCCTTAAACAGAATTGCATGGGTAGACTATAGTTTGACCAGATAGCCCCGGTTTTTTAAAGTACCGAATTAAATTTGATGGTAAATCAAATGTTTTAACTTAGAGAATGTCAACGACTAGCCGAGGGCACTGGCTCCGGAGATTGAATAGAAACAAAAAGGCGATTAAGTAATAATAGGAGTGGGGTGGTAGATTCGACGAAATAAACAATCTACTTTTCCTAACGTTTTTAAATTGGTCGGTAGTAGAAAGCATTCTTCAAGCCACCTACACGGGCAGAATATACAAGAGTCTCTAGTACAATCCTTTTGGGGAAGAGACCAGATACTACGGGAATCTTTCGAATGCACCGGAGGATCATATATCTACGTGTGGATAGATGTATTCGGTGATTCCAGTGATCTCAGTGAGTTCGTACTTGATGGTCCATCCTAAGGAGTAGGTGGCCATATGTGTACGTGCGCCATGCGATATCTGTTAAAACTTGTTTAGTCAAGTTGGTAAGATATGTACGTGAATGACATTTCTAGATTTCTAGATTTAGTATAATCGATGCACAGTTACTACTAAGATTCCTACTACTATTAATCTAAAGCGTGTGATCTAGGTATCAACTCTTCTGTTAACTTTAGCTAACTTTACTGATTTATTAGATATATTCCGGAAAAGGAGTACTACGGTACTAAGACTATCGAGTAAAGGTAACCTTTAGTGTCTATAGAATTCTATATTCTTTTAGTAGTACTATATTATAGCTGGCACCTTCCTTCCGTTATTTAGCCGTCTCTCTTACCTATAGCGCTATCGCTAAGATAACTAGTAGAAGGTTTTTTTTAAAGGGCTAGTTAGTCCAAACGATATTCGAATGTCAATTAGTAATAAAGTTATCGTCTTAGGGCAACTCGATAGTCCTATAGATAGTGCGACTCGAATTTCTAGTAAAGTTTTATAAGTTCAGATCTAATAAATCTTCTTATAATATATATCGCCAGTAAGTAAACTAGCTAGGTCGAAAAATCTGTATATAATATGAATGTCACTTTTCCATACGGTAGACTTTATAGTAGAGGCTATTTATATAGCTTGGCTTACATTGTAAAATTAGAAGGATTTTACGATATTTCCTCACCTATGGGCAACTTTAGCCGCGGGCTACCGGCCTCCTTTGCAGTAGCTCTTACATATTTCCCAAGATGAAATGCATGCATCCCTAGCAACAAGGAAACTCATTTCTTCTCTACCTATATCCAGGGAAGTGGTCAAAATAGGCTTCAACGCCCAACAATCATAGTTCACCCCTCAGCTATGTTATTATTGCTCTAGAAAGGTGTACATGGGTTTATATAAGTGGGGCATACACCTCCATTGACTCTGGTATTTACTAGGTATTCATTGTTTCATGACCGCGTAGACTAGCGCAATGTACAAACATCTCAATTAATACCAGCCAAACTAAATGACAAAGCATAGCCAATGACTGCTTCCCGGCTTCAGAAAATCACATTAATTTATGCGCCAACTGCGCCGATCGTGGTCCCGTTCGGTAGCTCAAGTCCGATGGGAAGTCCACATAGGAATTTGTCGGTGTAGGTCGTTCCGCGCTTTGTGGCGAGCTTCTCTTCAATGTCTCTATGCATGTCATAGCTAGTCATTGTCAGTATTGCCCAAAACCTGAAGTTCGTCAAACTCACGAATTCATCTCCTCAATAGTAAGCACTTTATTCGCATCTTCGACTTTGTATGTGGGAATATCTTTGTTGACGGAAAAGCCTATGCGCTGGTCAGAAAGTAATGTACCGCAACATCATGAAACAAAATTCTCTCACCAATCCGCTCGTTGATATTGTAAGCAGCCTTGGCTGCTGCTTCCTGCACCCTTGTGGCACGAGGCAAACGTACCTCCTGGTAAACAGCGAGGGCTTGAGCAATATCCCCCGAGAAATAACGCTTATCAAATAGGAGTCCAAGTGCTGCCGCATCTTCGATGGCCATACAGGCTCCTTGGCTTTGATGAGGCATCATCGGGTGTGCAGCATCCCCCAAGAGACAGGTGTTACCGCTTTGGATATACGGGTACGGGTCATGGACCCAGAGACGCCATGGCTTGATCTCTGCCCCAATTTTCAGATGTTCAAACACTTGCCGGTCGAGTTCCGGGTATGGGGCGAGGAGTTCCTCAACGGGGCGGTCTTCGGCCCCCCATGCTTGTGTTGAATAGTCGCCCTTCTCGCGCGGGAAGAAGCAGTAGTACGACAGAAGCTCGCCACCGTTACAGGGTGACAGAACAATCTTATCCCATTTTCCTTCCTGTCCACCCCAGTACTCCAGTGCACTGTTCTCAGAATAGTTCACCAGGCCGAGCCTGATGACATCCTCGGTTTTGACATTGGTGTGCAAGCAGCTCTGCTCGGAGGCTCGCTTTTCTGGTTTGATTCCAATAATCCCTCGAACGGCCGATCCGATTCCATCTGCACCGACGATTAGGTCATGGCTTATAACCTCGCCGTTCTCGAAGACGACTGTACTCGTCTTCAGATCGATATCGCGGCACTAAATCCCAGGTAACATTAGCACATACTTGATTTCAAGCAGCTTCCAGTGCTGAACGTACCCGGTAGTTTACTTTGAGAGTTGCTGGCACTCCTTCACCTTCGCCCAGCGCCGCATCCTTTAGCATGGCATGCATGTACTGGCGATGGAACATGTTGTAGACATATCCCCAGCGTTTCTCATAATCGTCAAGGTCGTACACACTGACAGGCTCACCCGTCTTCCAGTCGCGGTTAATAAGCTTCTTCAAAACCACAGGGTCCCCCTTGGCGATATCCACGTTCCACTCGTGTAGCCAGCGGGTTCCATTGGCAGCACACGAAACCGAGGCGCCGACTTCACCTGCAAAGTCCGACTTTTCGTAGATAGTCACAGTATGTCCTGCACGACGCATGGCAATTGCAACCGACATACCGCCGATTCCCCCACCAATGACGCCGACATTGAGACTCCTCCAGCTTGACATGGTGTATTTAGAGATAATCAATAAAGCCTGTGGGTTTGAAGCAGGTTGGATCGATGCAGAAAACTGTGAGTGTCAAGGTGAATATATAGCAAATTCTCACCTATTAATCCCTTATCTCTACATCTTCTCATATACACTTCGCGGATTTCTACATCGGCTGGCGGATGGTGCACTCGGGTCACCGCGGGCCGCGCACTGGCGCTTATCTTCGGCTTTTATACTTCCCCCGTCTATCAGAATCAATGCGTCAAAAGCGGAGCTATCCGGGCAAAAGACGTATGGGCATTATCTCATTACCACGGCTCTCTCACGAAAATAAAAATAAAAAACGAAACGAAAAGCAAAAACATACAATAGCATGTGTATGACCTTGGTCACCTAGCGCCCACGGTTCGGGCATAGGCGGTTCGCCAATCTATTTAGGTAGATTATATATATAGGCTGTTATTCCGCCGGATATTAGAACTTACAGGGCTTTCCTCGAGTGGGTTATGTGGGTTATAAGTGGAATAGGCTTTGACAAGTCCCGCAGCACCAGTGCTATCGCAGCACCAGTGCTATCGCAGCACCAGTGCTATCGCAGCACCAGTGCTATCGCAGCACCAGTGCTATCGCAGCACCAGACCCTTGGTTCGGTACTGCAGCACTGTAAACAATGCAAACACAACTAACCTCGTGATATAGTTACATAATGTCAGCCAGAAATGCCCTAGTTAGTCATTTGTACTATCCAATAGAAACCATGCGATCCTTTCAGAATCTCAATACCCTGTTTTCACCATGTACTCACTTGGTATTCGACAATAGTGAATAATTTCAGAAAATCTAAACTAGAACATACGTAAATTATAGTATTTAATTTAGATAAATTAGCTAAATTATACGCCAAGACCTAGATTTTACATAAATTCGGGTTGAGATGTGGTATTTGCGGGCGATGGCGCAGACTAGACTCGAGTTTGGGTGCTCTGACATTTCCAAACCGGCGAAGGTTGTTGCTGATGTCGATGATTGAACGTTTACTACATTCAACAGCTCTAGCTATTCCGGAAGCAGTCAGTGATTTGCTGAAACTGGATTATTTCAAGTTTTGAGAGGGAGCCTTGGCGCCTTGTTGCAAAGGGAAATCTGAGTGTTGATAAAGGGAACTTCTGGCAGGGAGCGGTGGAGGACCGGGGATGACGAGCGACTCCATTTGCTCACCCCTATGCTCAGTGAGCACGTGAAATGATTCTGCGTAGAAAGCCGTTGGGGCGCCAGGTATTAGGAAATGCACATGACCTTGCGATCTTGCAGGAGCTTGGGGCATAGCTGCGGACCTCAAAAAAAGGTGGTTCCTACTCTGCAAACGCATACACTAGACTTGCCATAGCAACAACTCTTGTATCCTACAATGATATTTCTGCTGT